GTTGACAACTTCGTCCATGCTGACCTGCACCCCGGGAACATCCTGGTTCAAGGCACGGCCCGTGTGAGCACCAGCTGCAAGGAGCAGACGGCCCTCGTGGACCTGTGTGACACACTCGTGGTGGAGGTGCAGCCGCCGCTGCGGCCGCTCTGCCTGGTGCTGCTGGATGCCGGGATCGTGGCGGAGCTGCAGAGCGCTGACATGCAGAACTTCCGGGCGGTTTTCACGGCTGTGGTCCAGGGGCAGGTGAGGCCTCTGTCGTGGGGCGGGGGAAGGGAGACAGCAGGAGAGTCTGACAACCCAAGTGAGAGTTTTCCCTGTATTTCCACTTAAAATCCTCTCTAAGAGGGGCAAGGAGACTTGCTAGCATGGAAGCTATACCAAACACCGGGCTAAGATATTCCCCTCCAGCAAGGATGCTGCCAAAGTGGAACAATTTCAGTGGCCCAGGAAACAGAAGGTGTATGGCTGCCACTCCCTGGTTAGGAGTGCTTCTGCTGCAAGTTAAGACTTCCTGGGAGCCACTTGCATTGGAGGCTGCTGCAGAATCTGTCAGGTTTTGCTAGAGAAGGGGAGGGAATGGATTAACATCTTGATCTTCCATGTGTTCCCTTCTGCAGCCTTGCCGCTGGAAAGTCCAGGTGCCTTTCTCCATTTTGCTGTTGTGTGTCAGCATCTGTAGAGAAGAGTACATAAAACAGGTGGACTGTCTGACCAAGAGGGCAGGCTCCTGCATATAAGGAGAACTACTTTATCCTCCTTCCCACCTGAAAAACACTTTCAGATAGACTAGAGAACCTGGTGCTGATGTCTCCTATTCATTCTGAGAACAAGCATCTGTGCTCATACTTGCCTGTTGCTGATTCCCAGCTGCAGGTTGAATGGCTTACCAGCATATCTCGAGAGGGACACATTTTGTCTTGGTCTGTTTAGTCTGCCCAAGCAAGCCAAGGAATCCACGCTAAACCATGTATTCAGGCCCATCCTGTGCTGCCAGATGTATTTCTCAGCTACTAAGCAAGAACTGCAGACAACTGGTTGCAAGTTACCAGCGATCAAGCCCTGATTCTCTTGTTCCAACTTGTTCCTCAGGGGGAGAGAGTGGCAGAGCTGATCCTGCACCACGCCCGCGCCAACCAGTGCCAGGACATCGAGCGGTTCAAGGCTGAGATGGCAGAACTAGTGACCAAGGTCCGGGGGAACACCATTGCCCTGGGGAAGGCAAGTGCACCGCGTCTCATTCTCACTCACCTGCAATTCAGTGCAACTTGGCACCGAAAACTGAAAAAAAAGGGGTTTTTGATCAGTTGTTCACTTCTTTTTGTATTCCAGCTGCAGGTGGGAAATCTCCTCTCGAATGTCTTCAAACTATTGATGACCCATAAGGTGAGGTCCTGTCACTGTCTGCCTTCAACAGCTGGAAGTTTATTTGGGGAGGGAGAACTACTGGGAACATGAAGGGCTAGCAAGGAGGGGGACTGACTTCTGAAATGAACTGCTAGGAGAGGAACTGCAGCAATGTAACCAAGTGTTGCAGGCTTGCTGTTTCTTGGCATGTTTCTTAGGTATGTCTGTTTAGTTGGGTTTTTTTGGTCTTAACACTACATTTAATGGCTGATATTGTTTACTAAAAGGAATATTTTTGTAACACATAGTTTTTCCTACCTTTCTTTGTAGTCTCTTAGAAGCAGAAAATTAAATCTAATATATATTCCACTTCTATATCATTGCATGCTTTCTTCCCTGGACCTCTTTCTTGATATGGGGTTATATAACAGCACCAGGCCATTTTACTGGTTTGTTAGAAGGCTCAAAGGTGAGAAGTTGCTCACAGGATAGAGATAACTACTTATAACTGATTATTTAGGAAACAAGTTTCCACAGCTGCAAACAACTCTGGAAATCAACAGAGCTGTGGTGGCCTGAACTAGAGGAAATGAAAAGGTTGTCAGCCACTTTGCTCACTGTGCAAAGGGTCCCTCTAAACATTCCTTACTTAGAGGTTTTTTTGTCATTAAGCCTCATTAAGTAGGTTTCTAGTGAAATGAAATGTAATTTAGGCCCTTACAAAGCAAGTCCTCCCAAGTTCTTAGTGCCCTGGCATGCCTTGAAACAATCCTAGTACCTGGCTGGGAATTGGGAAGCAGCTTCTTCACACAGAGAGCAGAGAATCATTTCCTCTGACCTGTGGGGTCTTTTATGGCCGTTCAGGTGAGCTGCCCCTTACACAAGCGCATATGTTCAAGCATGTTGGATAGTAGATGCAGCCACAGTGAGCACTTCTAAGGTCCTGATGTTCTTGTATGGAAGAAAAAGAAAACCCATTCCCCTTTTTGTATGAAAAACAAACTCTTGGGTTCCCTTAGTGCACTCACCCTGAAACTGTCCCCTTATGTTTGGGCCTGCTGCTCGATTTCAGTGAATTCTGAAACTCCAGTTGGTGGAGTTGCATTAGTTTCAGGTGTGCATGTGTTCATAGCAGCCTCTTACCTTCCCTCTCAGCTGAGCCAGAGCTGGGACCTTGGTTGAATGGGCACAGAAGAAAAGAAGGTCCACTGAGTCCATTTAGTCTCTTGTTGTTCTAGGTGAAGCTCGAGAGCAATTTTGCTTCCATCATCTTTGCCATCATGGTTCTGGAGGGACTAGGTCGCTCACTGGACCCTGAACTGGACATCCTAGAGGCAGCTAAACCACTGCTTATCAAAACTGCAGCTTCTGTCCTCAAATAGACTCCTGTGGCTGCTGCCCTCTCCCTGTGTGGGGTTACCTGCGCTGTCTGTGACCCAGCACGAGGGAAGCTGCAGGTGAAGTCACGTGTGCCCTGGGGACATGCTGTGCAGTGATTACTCTGCATTAATGTTGCCTTCAGTCGTTTCAGCCGAGCACCAGGCAGGGGATGATCAGAAGGTCTATTCCAGAAACCAGAAGACTTTGCACAATTGGACATTTCTGACTCATTGCACAGTTTTAAGAGCTAATGTGCTCTGGTAGTTTTTAAACTGATATACGTATCTTAGGTGCACAAGATGACTGCAGCCCGATGAGAAAAGCAGTCTTACTTGTCTAAAAGTCTTCAAAAAGATGTTCATTGATCAAGTCTGTTTTGAAATACATCAGGTTAAATATTTAAGGTTAATTTACTGACTTACCTGTCACTGTGGTATAAGAAATGATGTTCTAACATCACCTAAGCAACACAGGCTGAAAAAGCCAATAAACCTCGTTGTCTTTTGTACTTTTAACTTCTACTTTTCTTGTAGAAGTGTCCCAAGATCCTGCATGTAGCGGTCTGCTCTTAGTCATTTTGGATGATAAAAACAGACCAGTCATTTTGATTTTTTTTTTCCTCCAAACTTCTGTACTCCAGCACATTATTATGGGAGTTTGATTATAAACAGCATAATAAAATATTTGCCTAGGCAGAAAAACCTAATTCCATAATAAAAAGCAACTTCTGGGAATATTTGTACTGCTCTTAATTTTTATGTTTCTGAAGCTTAAAAGTCTTTTTTTTTTATCTTTGTGTGCTTCCTTCTACTACCCTCCCCCATGCTAGTGTCACCCTATTTAATTCAAAGCCTTTACTGATACGCAGATTCTTGGGGTTTGTTTCCAGTAGCTGCAAAGCAAGAAGTCTAAGAATTTTCCTAATGGATCAAAAACATGTTGCAAATGTTTAAAATTGAATAAAGCCAGCAAAAGACCTAGATTATATGTGGCATTCACAGTCAGTTATTTTAATAGCAGTATTAAAATTATTTTATGGCTGCATTTTAATAGTGAGAAATATAGTCTATGAATGACTGGAAATACTGTGATATTAAATATGTTAGCAGATATATCATATGTGAAATAGCAGTAGTGCAGGCTCTGCAGTGGTCTGTTCTCAGATGCTTAAGCAATGAAAAGAAAGTACATAAGCAGGCAATCTGCTGTTTTATGGTGATTATAAAGTAAAGGTTAATGGCATATAAATGAAGTCTGAAAAATAAGTTTAGGTTCAGCTCAATATATTTCATGTACTTTCCTTTAATCACTGCATATTCCATTTCCAAGTGCTTAAGGATAAAAACAGCAGTAGGGTTTAATATCTTTTAAGCTTCAGACTTGTTTCTCTAAGTCTAGTTAGACCAAAGTCATAAGTAGGCACACCATTGTCCCGACTAGCACATGATTTTATGTAAAAGAGAACTGAAACACGAAGAAAAGCGAGCAACCCCGAAGCATCACATTAAAGAAAATCTCCATGAGCTGCCAGCACCCACTTTCCATCAGAGGGGTGTGTTCCCTCTTCCCTTCCCGCCCAGCTCAGGACAGAGGTGCCAGGCACAGCCTGGGCCTCGCCCATCAGTTGTGCAGGTCTTGGGCACAACCACCCGTGTTCCTACTAAGCAACTTCCAGACAACTGTTCCAGAGCCCAAACAGAGTGTAAACCAAATGACGGAATTCCATGTCCAAAATGCAAAACTGCAGTTTCCATAACATGCAGCAAGTTATATTTTTTTCCAGACCTTAAGTTAAACAAAATGTCAAAGCCTTCACTTTGTATTTAGGCTCATTCTTCCTTTACCCTTTTTTTTTTTTTTTTTTTAAAAAAACCCACAACAAGTCTGAGGATGGCTCATGCATATTATGGATCCTAAAGTTTAAAAATACCCCTTTCAGCTATTAAGGCTTCTGAATAGTTTGTAAACATCTGGATGAGAGACTTAACTTTGTCTTTTTAGGGGAAAGCTGAAGGCAGAGCCTCTCCATTATCCCTAGAGGAATGCAGTCTGAGACTTACTGCTAAGAAACTGCTGGGCATTCAGAAGATTTGGCAGGATTTCAAAGGAGCTCCCTTGTACAAATTTTCTTTATTTTACCTTTTTTTTCTTAAGGAACTGCCATTATCACCTGGTGCTGTATTCTTGTAAAGAGCATACCTTTTTATACTCACACTTTTGGTTGAGCAGTGTGCCACAAAAGGTGTAACATGTTTCTAAGTATACACAGAATGTCAGGCAACAACATTTTAATTTTGTATCTAGTTTGGTTCCGGGCATTACTCGAAACAAGGTATCACATATATTGTATTTATTTTATCATAATTCTGTGTAAAATAAGAACATATTTCCATACAGCCCCGAGTGTTCCAGCAAATAAACTGTGCCACATCCATTCTCCTTCCCTAAATATCCCTCTGAAAAGAACAGGTACATTTCTGGTTACCCAGAGCTGATAACAGCATTCCCTGTGACACAACCACTGTGTTTTGTTAACCATCAGTCTACCAATTCATTTGTAGCATTCTCCCCATTTATTCACAAAGAGCAAAAGGTGTGGTTATTGTAACCAAGGGCCCTACCTGAAAAGGTGCCCGAGTATCTTTCTGACCTGCTTTGGAGGCTGCCAGCCTGCCAGCCAGACCGTAGGCCAAACAGAAACCCAAGCCCACCACTGGGTTTGGTGACTCTCCAAAGATAGTTATTTCACAGATCAGACCTTTTTGTCATCACAGTGCCTAGAAAGGGGAACTTGTCATAAAGCAAACAAACAATCAAACAAAAAACCCCAAACAACCATACCCTACACCACTTTCTTTTTCTATTTTGGGCTTCTAAAAGTCATTCCTCCTCTAAGGGAGTGACCAAGCAGTACCTACACCCTGACAGTAGAAGATCTGTACTTACCTGAAGCCCAGGCTGGTGAACTAGAATAGTAACTCCAGAAAGAAAGGCATGTAAAGGACAGAGCTGGGGAAGTGCACTCTGGCTGCAATGAAAGGGAGATTAAAGACCTCTCCGGGAATTGTAATTCCACTTGTCACAACTGTGGCACACCGAGTCACACCTACAAGACAAAGACCAGGTCTGTGAATTGCTCGAGGGCCTCTCCCCCACTTTGCAGCTTCCTTACACTAGCAGGGATGCCCAGAGTAGCCAAAGGGTCTGTTCTCTGAGGTACTTCTGGAGGGTCACGGATTCTTTGGTCTTCTTTTTCCATCTTCTGATCTTCAGTATCTGCTCTGGAACACTCTCACTTTGGCAGCCTGGTCCTTGTTTTGTTGCTCCTTGTCCTGCTCCCGTGATTCTTGCTCCAGCATGTCCTGCCATGACTGCATTCTGCTCCTCAGAAACTCCTACATAAAGATATTTAAAATTGTACAGTCAGCTTTCACGTCAAATTTCATCCTCAGTTTTCATCTATGTCCAGCTCTGTGGCCCCCAACATAAGAAGGACATGGACCTGCTGGAGCAAATCCAGAGGAGGGTCACAAAAATGCCCAGAGAGCAGGAGCACCTCTGCTATGGAGACAGGCTGAGAGAATTGGGGTTATTGCTTACAGCACCTTCCAGTGCCTAAAGGGGCTACAAGAGAGCTGGAGAGGGACTTCTTACAAGGGCTTGTATTGATAGGACAAGGGGGAGTTGCTTTAAATTGAGAGTAAATTTAGATTAGAAATTAGGAAGAAATTCTTTACTGCGAGGGTGGTGAGGCACTGGAACAAGTTGCCCAGAGAAGCTGTGGATGCCCCATCCCTGGAAGTGTTCAAGGCCAGGTTGGACAGGGTTCTGATCAGCCTGATCTAGTGGAATATGTCCCTGCCCATGGTAAGGGTTTTGGAACTAGATGACCTTTAAGGTGCCTTCCAATCTAAATCATACTATGATCCTCACTGGTAGAAGTCAGAAATGGGTATAATCTGTGGAAATTCATTCCTTGCATGCAGAAAGACTCCTTTTATGGCAGAGATGGAGAATTTCACTTCCCATCTTTCGTCTTTAGACACATGTGAAAAAAAGTTACCCTTCTTTAAACCCCTAAATGATGTAGTTATATTGGATATAAAGCAGGTGAAAGACAAATACTCCAGACGGTGCCACTGCTGGAAACACAGCAGAAGGGAAAATCATTTCTGGAATTGCCCTTACCAGCCTTTCTCTCTCTTTTTCAAAACTCCTTTCATTGCATTCTGCCTGCAACTCCTCTCTCTCTGTGAATGCTGTGTCTTTAAGAACTGAAGCCTCTGACTTGCCTTCCTCTTCCCCTCCTCTCGAAAGGAGGATTCCTTCCTGCTCCTCTCAGCCCCAGCAGCCTGGAGCAGTGCCATGTGCTGCAAAGCTCTCTCTTTGTGCTCCAGCTGTTTCTCCAGCCCTTGCAATGTTCTCTGACGCAACCGTTGCCTGTTTCCAAAACAAAATTTCTCAAATTTCTCATAAAGAAAGAGCAATAAAAAAGACAGTGCATGAGACACAAAGCAGATATTCTGGCAACGTGTGCTCAGTTAATATTCCAGGACCCTTTGTTAGGTTATGATGGTTAAACCTGTGTCTAAAACAGAGGTAGCAAAACTCCCAAATGGGCTGGTGCCTGCTGTCAGCTCACTGCAGTCATCTGTCCACCTGACTACATAAACCTGGTGTGGCCAAGAGTTGTTGGCCCTGAAGACCAGGAATCCGGGAGATGGATTGTGCAGACAGGGCTGTAGGACTGATCCAGACAGCTGGGTGCCTGTGTGCTGCTGGTGGAGCCCCTGAGGCAACAGAGGAGAAGGCACAAAGTGGGTCATGGGAGTAATGCAAGGTCCTGCTCAGCTTAAGTGGACTGTGGGACCAGAGAGCTAGGATTTGAGAGGCCCAAGGCCCTTTGGTCTGAGAACAAGATTGAAGAGAATTCACCCCTGGAGGTAACACTAAAGGCTACAGGATCCATGTGTTCCCGCTCCCACATACCTCAAGAACCACCTTTTATTCCCACTAGGGAACCACTGTGACTCCTCTGCAGTCTGTCCTAAAGCACAACGTGTGATGTTCAGAAACTGAAGGGGAGCACCAGGGAGCAGATGTTACCAGCCTTCCAACATCTACCACAAAAAGCAGGTAGCTCCCAGGCATCACCTCTGGCTGTCCTTGCACAGCTGCTGCTGGATGCCATCTGCCTCTTGCTGCTGCTCCCTCCTCAGCTGCCTCTGTTCCTCTTTCCTCCTTTTGTGCTCAGTCTCAGCTCTGTCGAAGTCCATCTCTTTCCATCTCTCCTGAGATGCACCATTAAGGATTGATTTCTAAGTGAAAAAAAGCCAAACTGAACCCTTAATCCCATCAGTGTATTTTTCTAATGCAAACTGTAAACACACAAAACCAGAACAGCTTAGTTCTAATGTCACTCTTGAGGTCTGGAAGCTACACTGGCTCATGAATACTGCAGTTGCTTCCCACTCATGAACATGCTGAGGGTGATGCTAAAACCTATAGAAAACATGAGGCTTAACCAACAAAGGGGTGCCTGAAAATCCACTGTTCTGCTTGTTCTGCTGTTGAGCCAACGCTTAAAGATGCCCAATCTTTGTGTCACCTTTCATGTTTCGATGGAAAATCCAGGTTCTGAACACAAATTATATTACATATTCCTCATTAGATTTTATTAGAAAGAGAAACACCTGCCCCCCTCTGGCCAAACACAAAATATTCCCTGAGTTCTCTGCAGGTGTAGCAGAGAACTTCACCTGTTGTCTGAGATTTCTACTTATGCTCAAGCAGTTTTTGTGTGTTCTTCAGCAGTAGCTGCATTTCAGTGCTGGGCAGTGCTGCTAATTTGTGTTTTTAAATGCACTGTGCTGTGCAAAGATATGAAGGAGCACCTACAAGGCTCCTTTTCATAGCCAGGGTGAACTGTTTCTTTCCTTTGTACTCCCTACAGTGCTCTGTACGAGGGAAGGAGCAAGGAAACATCACCAAAACTTTAGACATGCATTCAAGTTTACATTCCTAGAGCTGTTTGGGGGTGGAACAGAGTTTCCACAAAATATTTTCCTCTCCTTCCTCCTATTCCCAGCTGCAGTTAGCACGTTCCTGCTGTTAGCTGCTCCTCTGCAAACAGAATGCCACCTCTCCAGTTCTTTCCAACTCTAATACCACAAGCTGGAAAACGCTACAGGACCTTCAAATGAGATCTTGCCAGTCTCACGTAGTATTTTGACGGGTTTCTCTTAACACATTGATCTGTATGGCTTCCCAGTGGCTGTAAACAACTTTGTTCTCCAGTATATTGCTATTCCTTGCAAAAAAAATGTACCTTGTGGGTGTTTGTGTTTAATGACATACAAGGGGAGAGATCAAAGAGAGAACCAAAGGTATTTTATAGGTGGGAGGTGAAAAAATGGTGTTTTCCAACAGGTAAAGTACTGGCCTAAAGTTTAGCAGACAAAGTTCCACCTCAGTCCTGACATGCACTCTCTGCTGTGGGATTCAGCTGACTATTTAGATTTTCTCTTTTGGTATCCATAAAAGAGGAATCAGTTTTTTGCTGTCTAGTAGAGCTGGCAGAGAGTTTTATTTAGAAAATATTAGATCCAAAATAAATAAAAAAACCCTCTATCAAAAGTGCTGAGTAAAAATACCACAAGTGCCCTGCCCTGTACAACACAGATTCCCAAGTGGAAGCCTTAAGTTTCTACTTGTGCATAACCATTATTCTACACAGGCATAATTTTTGTTGCAGCAGAAACCTTTGCAAGAGATCAAAGGAAAGAACATTCTCACACGACATAAACAACTCTCCTGATCCTAAGAGCTAAATCTGGCTTAGACCAAATACTTACTGTAATGCTTTTGTCTTTTGGAAGGTTTAGAAGTTTTGTGGATCTCCTAGCCAGCACACTGGTGGTACTGTGTGGTCTCTGCACACGTAGAGCTGATCTGATGGTCAGGCTGTCTCTCTCTAGTGATTGATTCACTTGGTCGAAGAAGCTTTGGTGCCTGAAAGGAACCAAAGCACTGGTTCCCAGGGAAGGGCTCCTTGGGGAATGCTGGACTGGAGCTTCTGTCACTCTGGACTCAAAAAGACCTTGCAAATAAATTAGGGCAAGGACATATGAGAATATAGGAAGCTTATAAAAAGAAAGTAAGTTAAAAGAACAAAAGGTCTTCTTGTATAAAATATATTCAAGTAGGACTTTTATAACATTTTCCTCTGAGGGACATTTTTTAGTCTTCACAAAACAGGTTCCAGCTTCTTTCCAGAAACAAGCTTGCTATTGCAGTCAGGGAAGAGTTCTGCCTGGTAACACAAGATTTCTGAGTGCATTAACAGCTACTCAGGCTAAGGGATTGTTTACATGGCATTTCACAGACAGACATGAGCTGCTCTGAGATGAGTGAAAATGATAAATCTCTTGATGGGGCAAAGCCTGAGCTGTACATCCTGCTGAGAGCCAGGAGACATTAGCTTGGGCGCAGCACTGTGCTAATACAGCTTTTGGGTAGCTGAGAACACGAGCAGAGTTTGCTCACACCCTTCTGCTAAAGACAGTGCAGACCTGAGTGGCAGCTGCTGCACAGAACGATGATGGAACACCAGCTGGGAGGAAACATGCACCCCTCTGTGACTTTTCATTCTCCCTCTACCAGCAGTGCCACAAAGCAACAACAGAGAAAGCTTTAGGCTTTCAGAATCCTCACCTAAATGCCTGCCATTGTCACAAAAGTAAAAATGAGAATAGCAACAAATTGATTAAAATTGTGATCCAGCCCCTTTTGAATGTTAAAGGGAACAAAAGTTTACTCAGTGACAAGCAATAGTTTTCAGCACAGATAAGAGGAGTGTTCTGCAGAACAGCCCTGGTGACATCTTTTTGCTATAGGCAGTAATAGTTAATGCTATTATAAAGATTAATTTTTAAAGTAAGGAAATTTTATAATAAATAGTATTTATACTGAGCGTTATGATAAAGGTTAAGAAAACCCAAAAGCTGCTACTGCAGTAGCTGTAAAAGCCAAAAAACCCTGATTTCCATCTGAAAATTCTTTCACCTTGAGATGATGAACTACTTCCCAAACCAAAGCACTATTAATATTATAAAGATACTCCATAATCATGGCCACAGTCACAGCATGGCATTATGGCATTTCCTTTTGAAGCATCAACAGTTATGGCAACAGATCTTAGACACAATGACCTGCTGCAGTGATATTGTGTGGCAAGACTTACTTTTGGGTAAAAGAGCTACAGTTCCACTACCATGATTGTGTTTAAAATTAGCTTCAGTTTCAGCATCCTGCTGTCTGCTCTCTGGTTCCTCCTCGTGATCTGTCTCCATTAACCAGCTGTCTGTGTTGACAGCAGTATCAACCATAGCATGAGCCATCTCCCTCTGAGCACCCTAGAAATGACAAGAAATGCATTCAAAATCCAGACCCAATAAGGAAAAGAATAGGTTAGTTTCATAACTGAAGTTTAACAAAATCAAAAAGACAATCTCTGGGGGAGTTATCTGGGGGAGTTCTTTACTAAAGAAACAACTCTTAGGTAGAGGATTTTCTGATCACTTCATGGGTTTGTCTACATCTTCAAATGACCTAAAACTGGCAGTACTTCTGCCTGGAAGGGTCAGTACAAAAGAGATCAGGTCAGAGGAGCTCTGACTGAAAGACAGTCCTGTTTCTGGCACCTGCCAGAAGTCAGGATTCTAACCCTCACAGAGATAAGCTTGGCAGTAGCTGGTGCACATGATCCTCCTTACTGATCCTCACCCTGTTAACAAGCACCAAATCAACTGCTGAGGATAACTTAAGTCTCTTATGGTCTTTGACTGAGAGAGGGGACACATCTAACAGGGTGGAGAAGTACCTTAATAGACTTATGCAAGAGACTGTCTTGGTATGAAGCAATCCTTACTTTAATCCTTATCCAGTGTCAAGTCTTCCATCTGACATTTTTTCCTGCCTTTACCTCCTTCACACAGAAACAGCATGTAGAGGAACTGGGCTATGCAACACTTCTTATATTCTGCATCCATGGAAGAAATTCTAGAAGCCTGCTCCAGCCAGGGACAATGACAGCTTATAACTCTTTCCCTGGTCAAAGGATCAGGAAGACAGTGCAAAGTCTCTCCATTCTTTAACAGGCATATATAAGGGCCAGGCCTAAAACCTCTAGTAATTTTTTGGTACCAAGGGCAGTAAACTTCAGGTAACAAAGCAGATATTTATACAAATAGCAGACCACATACTGACAGAAGAGCCAGGGTGAAGCATTTTTTACCTTCTTAGGTTCTATAACCTCATTGTCCTCTTCCAAACAAGACCAAACACCTTTTGGAACATTTTCTGTCTCTAATCTCGTCTCTTCCTTTTTCTCTTCCTCTCTGGAAACACTTTCTGAAGATGTAATTCTCAATTCAGACAGTTCCTCTTCTATTTTCTTGCTGAGCTCTTCTCCAGCCAAGCCTGTTCCTGAGATGAAGGCATTTCCCTGCTGCACTTTGCACCCTGCAGGCCGTGTGGGTTCCCAGGCTGCCAGGCAGCACTGGGGGAGCGAGGTGCACCCCCAGCTGCACTTAGCACGTGGATGAGCTGAACACAGACCCCTGGCCAGCAGTCCAGGTCTGAGTGACCCAGTCTGTAGCGTCCTGAGGCTCTATAACCTGGTGTCACAATGTATGGGTAATGCAAGCTTGAATCTACCACCATCTGCCTGGCTGCTAAAGGCATCTGCACTTCTAGGATGATGCGTTCGCTTAAGGGCAGAGGAATCTGCAGAGCTTTGTCAGAAGACACCTCCCTGGTCTGCCCATTCCAGAAATTCACAAGGACTCCACTTCTGTTGTGTGCTGTGTGTATTAAAAACAAAAAGGTAGATAATGTATTAGCAGCAGAAAGCTGGAGTTAAAATAAGGACTTGTGTTTCAGACAGTTTTGTAACAACTTTGATGGTTTTTTTTCTTTATAGGTTGAAAATGTCACCTTCTTTTAAACTTCCTACGAGGAGACAGGGGATAACAAAATTCTCACTTGTCGCAGTGAGGCAGGATTTTACGCTGAAATAGCAGGAAACTAGACTGACAGACAACCAGGTGAATATTCATGAGGGCCAGGAACATTTTTTGCTTTGTGTTGGGAGGGTGCCATGCCCAACCCCCAGCTTTTCAGGAAGTTTTCACTCATAGAACAAAGCAAACACACATTCTGGGAGCTGCATTAACTCTGACACTGAAAAAGAACAGGCTGCTTAGTGCCAACAACACAAACACAGTGAAGAGAACCCAAGCAGCAGGTGGTGAACTCTCCGGGATGGAGACTGTTCTCTTTCCCATACAGTGACCAGCTCTACTAAGAAAACCAAAACATCCCGTACCTAAATGTTCCTCCTTGCTCTCCACAACCTTTAGCACAGTGCCGGGGCCAAAACGTTCAGCTCTAGCCTCCCACGGCGCCAAGACCCTGTCTCCAGGAGCGAGACGCTGTCTCCTGGCATCCTCGTAGTGGAGAATGTCGTAGAGAGGCGTTTCCTGCAGGCGGAGCTGTACCTTGCCTCTCCGAGCACGACTTTTGTCAAACTCAATTACAAAGCGTTCCCTGGAGCCCTACAAGAGTAAAACATGCGGTTTGCAAGGCAGACATCTGGGTCCAATTAGCGGCCAAACATTAAGCGCTAAGAGGGAAGTGGCAGAAATCCCAGGAAGCAGGACGTGATCTGGAAACGCAGCTTTCCTCTTCTACCGGATTTTTCACTGCACTGCGTCCATATTGGATTTAAAAGTAAATAAAACACTGGGGTTTAAGGGGCTGACAGCTCTTTCTCTTACTTTCTCTTTGAATTTAGATTTTAGTAAGAACACATTTAGCGTGCTAAGGCAGAACTTGACCAGGAAGACCTCCCATAAGAAAATGAGTAGCCAAAAGAAACTGCTGCGCATGAAGCAGTTCTCTACACAGCAGTCAGAAGGGTAGCAAACCAGTAAAATGTCATAACTGTCAAAAATTGAAACGTTTTAATTTAAGCATTCAGCAATGGGTGTGGGGAAGATCTGTTACTGAAATCTCAGCCTGGTCTGCAGATCTGTGAGTGCACTTACACAAATAATACTTTCAGCTCCTACTCCAGTCATGCCACTCGTGCCTGTAACCGCCCCCATCTGTTCCACCCCACACTGGAGCTTAGAGACTCACCTACACTAACACCAAAGTTCAGTTAAATAACCTGCAAACTGCGAATGAACTGGGTTTTTAAAGAAAGCCTGCAGGGGGACTTTCTGTCTGGCATCCACAATCACCCAGCAATTCCCAGAAACACAGATGGGAGAGAATGAGGAAAGCTCTCAGTTTGGTAAAGAGGAAGCGAACCCTGGAGACAGACATTTTGGATTACTAGTTGCTATTTAGCTAGCCGACTTTGCTGCTAGACTGGGCAAAAGTAGACAACAGGGATAAGGGACCTGTTTTGTTTGTTTCTGAATAAAACCTTTTTATAACTACAAAAATGGACTGATCTCCAGGCTCCTTCTTCTTGCAGGGTTCCTCACAGTAAACAACCAGTCAACACCAGGTGATCAGGTAACAGATTAAAATAGGATGTGGGGACACAACAGTGGTTATGAAGTGCCCTGTATCACAGGAGAGCCACCCCACAACAAGGGCATGTGACTGGTGAGGAATGAGGACAACAGGGAAAAAACCCCACAGATTCTCTTACAGCACAGTTCCCAATAAATACTTACCTTCACCTCTTGGGCAATGTGGCCCAGGTAGTAATAGCCATCAGTTTCTCTCCTTGCCAACACACGAGCCCCCCTCACTAAACTGGAAGCCTCTGGGGATGCATCAGTGAAATGACTTTTTGCTGAGGGTATCGAGGGTGCACAAAGAGGACAGGGGTTCCATGCACAAACAGGAAAGCTGTGGAAAACAAAAATACAAGAAGTAATAAAGACGTTGGCAACAGAACTTCTGCAACTTACTGCAATGAAAACAAACTAAATCAATATGGAGCACACCCCCCACCCTGCAATAACTGTCTTTGATTCCTAGCTTTTCTCCTCTCTGCTTTTCCAGCAGCTCGTCTACAGATTTTGAACTTACTAAGTCACTGGACATCTTGGCAGCAGACAGCCATGGGAGTCTTTATTAGTGTGACAACACTGGACATGTGAGATGGACCTGGAGCTTACCTGGAAGGGGGAAGGAGGAGATGGAAGCAGAAAATGAGCATGATTTTTGAACACTTACATCCTTAAACAGGAAATACTGTTCATAAAGTTTACTTTCAGTGTATTACTTCTCTCTATAATTCTTCCACCGTATCTTGTGGTACTGTGCTGCTTATCTGTAAGATCACCACAAATGGTTTTGATTTTGAGAAATCAGTTTTGGAAAGAAGAAATATTAGAAAATAAAACATAAGAACTATATGATAACCCCCACCTTGTGTTGCATCTGGTTTGTATTCAGCTGCTAGGTATGTAGCAGGGGTATCTCTGTTTCTTCAGTCATTATGAGACATGCTGTTCAAAGGACAATGTGCCATTTCAAGGACACACAAAGCTATTGCAGGTGTCCAGTTTGGCCCATCTCGGATCCTATAACAGATTTATTTTACTGTGAAGGAGGCCACTAGGTGTGCAAGTCTCAAATCAGAATAGTTTTACTTTCTTACTAATCCTTACACCTTTTAGTTAAGGTGTGATTTTAGTAAAGAGCTTTGAACCTGGAAAAGACACCCATTTCTCAGGACAAGGCACAGCTTGGAGTCAGGCAGCAGAAGAGGGGGAGTGCGAGGGTTCTGGAGCTGCCTCTCCCATCCCTGGGAGCAGGTACTGCTCAGCAATGCAGGCACACCAACCGTGCTGGCTCCCTCCCAGGCCCTGTGCCCCGGCTCTCCAACAGCAGCGCGTGTGCAGCCAGTGCCCACGTGCGCACTGCAGCTGTCCAAGCTCCCCGAGCCAGCAAGAGCTGACAGGTCAGTGAAAGGATCCGAAGTCAAGGAAGAAGGAAGGAGGTGGGGGTTGAGTCTAGGGAGACAAAGATGCCTCTGCAGGTCAAAGGCAGCAGTGGAGACATCCGGCCTGAGCAAGATGGAAGACGCGAAACGTTTGAGAACGGCGACACGGGGAACAACATGCCAGGGACAGCGAGAAGGCAGAAAGACAAAATACGAGGCAGTTGGAAGGTGGAGTTGACAATAAAACTATGAACCTTATATCAAAAGTGTTCAGCTTTTATAGAAAAACATAAACTTGGTATGGACCACATGGCAGCAAGTTTTTGCATTGATCACATGTTAAGTAAAAACAAAGATTGAATAGTTTGCCCTGTTAACTGCTGCTGAAAATGCATCTGAGGCTCAGATGAGCAAGGAAATTAAAATCCCTTAACTACAAGGATGCCCACTGCTGTTTCAGCTGAGGATGTCAGCTGTTTGGGATGTTAACAGAATGAGATTATGTTACTTATTTAAAATACAGTATTTGATATCCTTCACCCAAGGTTAAAACAACACAAAAATCTGTAAATCAGGGTTCACTGTCTGTAGGCAAAGCTGTATAATGACTAGCAAGGAAAATGGAAAACCTAAGTGAGGCATTTTGTTCTTTCCTTTGGGACCTTCACCCTGCACCTGTCAGAAACATGTGCTTTCAAGTGCTAGTCTGTAAAGTTCAATGAAATCACAGGCAAATCTTTTCCTGTAAAAGTAAATGGAGCCAGAGCAAGATACACCCAAATTTGACACCAGGTGTTGGCGATGATGCTTTTTGCTCAGGGGCTACACAAAGCACTGTCTCTCCTCCCAAGCAGGGATTCAAGGTACAGGTGATATACAACTGGAAGGCTGGATACACCAGCTCGGGATGTCAGGTGCAGCCTGGCACAGAGATGCCAAACCTATTTAAAATCTTTATCTCCAGATTCCTTTGGAGAAGGTAAAGCTGCCAGGTAAAACAAAGTTACTCTTTCAGAGGGCCACAGAAACTCCTCCCCTGTTCTCTTTAGTGAAATGTCATCCAGTGAAGATTCAGGAGGAACTAATAAGCATGGACTAATCTTACATTAGCAGCATACCTTGTAAGGAAGGGTAGGGGGGAGTCTGATTCCTTGAAAGGACTCCTCTGATAGTCTAGCTACTTTCTCCATTATTTTTTGCTTCTTTTGGGATCACCTGGATGTCCCAGAAGGCATACCATGCGTACTGCTGGATGAAACTGGGTCTCCACAAGAAGTTGGTAGAATTCCTCCGACCCTTGCTCTGGTATTTGCTGGTGAACAGATACACCTGCCAGCAGACTGGTTCTTCCAATGCCACGTTTCCAAGCCACAGGGATCGAAGCCAGGCTGCAGCTCCAGGGTCGCTGCTGAGTGAGCACTGACCACTGCAGCACCTGTGGGAGGGTAAAAGGGAAAGAACAACAAAAGCCCCTCACATGCGCGTGCCTTCGCTGAGGCGGGACAGGTGGGAATTCTTTATTAGGCGTATCTGCGCTGAGGAGCCCGGGAAATCGCCCCTGCCCTCCCGCTACCGGCCCACGGAGCGGGAAGAGGCTCCGCACCTGGTGCTCCTTCAGGAACGCTTCAGGCCGGATCCCGACGCCGAGGGTGAATCCCCGCATCCCGGGAGCCGCCGCGCGCGTGCCCCGTTGCTAGGCAACCGCGCTCCGCGGGCTGGACCGCCCCGGGCGCCCAGGGATGGACACAGCGCCGCCTGACTCCTGCCAGCCCCTTCCTCGGACACCGACAGCCCGCGCCGCCTTCTCCCCGAGCCCCAAAAGCGGCGATTTGGCTGGGGAAGTCTCCCCCCGCTCTTCGACCTCCGTGGGCGACGGCAACTTGTGTGACCCACGGGCAGCCCCCGGTTAGCGCCGCCGCGCCGCTCCCAAGTGCCGGGCAGGGCAGGTGTGCGGGGACAGCGGCGCGGTATCCCCACAGCCCGCGGTATTCCCACAGCCCGCGGAGTCCCCACAGCCCGCGGAGTCCCCACAGCCCGCGGAGTCCCCACAGCCCGCGGTATCCCCACAGCCCGCCGAGTCCCCGCGGCCGGCGGGCGCTCCCGAGCCCGGGATGTCCCCGCCCCGCGGTGTCCCCGCCCCGGAAGGCGGCGGCGGCTCCAATGGGCGCGGCTGTTGCTGGGCCGTGCGGGTGACATTGGGCACGGACATGGTGGTGGCGGCGCTGGCCCGGGCGGCGGCGGCGCGGCTGCTGCGGGCCGGAGCGGCCGCGCCGGGGCGGCGGCGGTGAGCGGGGAGGGTTTGGGGGGTTTGAGGGGTTGCCGGGGCGGGCTGGGGGTGCCGGGGGAGCCCGGAGTGAGGCGGGTCCGTGCGTGTGCTGCAGCGCGGGCGGCGGCGGGGTGCACATCGCGCCGCGGTACCGGCAGTTCCCGGAGCTGACGCGGGCGCAGGTGATCCGGAGCGAGTTCCTCAGCGGCTTCATGTGGTTCTGGATCCTCTGGCACTTCTGGCACAGCTCGGACATGGTGCTGGTGAGGCCGTCGTGGTGGTGGCGGCGGCAGCGGGGCGAGGGCCGGGGTCGGGCCCCGGCCGCGCTCTGATCGCGTCTTTCTCCCAGGGACACTTCCCGTATCCCGACGCTTCGGCCTGGACGGACGAGGAGCTCGGGATTCCTCCGGACGACGAGGAATAGGCGCGTCCAGCGGCGGGGGCCGGCAGCACACGGGTACGGCTCCCGCCGCCCCTCCTCGCACGGCCCCGGGCTGGGCTTTGCCTTGGGAGCTGCGGTGCAGCCCCGCGCGATCGTGCCCGGCTCTGCCTCCTGCTGGCACCGCCGGAGGTGCCCTGCTCTCAGCGAGTATGCGTGCACTGGTGTACGAATACTGGCAACATAAGCCTTCAGTGTTACAACTTGGGGTTTTTAGGAGTTGTAGCTTAGCGGATACCAGTTAAAAATGGTTTTCTTTAAGCTGTTCTGTAGACCTAGCATTACCTAGCCTGGAGGACATGCTCTCTCTGTTTATAGGGAGATCTGTCCAGATGTCCCCTTAAAGGTTTGAGGGTTTTGCTTGTTTCCAGTTCTTTAATTACCCTGTCTTCTAAGCTGTTGTGTCACACAATACAGCTCTAAAACCAACAGCTTCAACTACTGCTGAAGGCAGCATGGGCACTATTGAGGGGGTCCTTCTACTCTTCGTGGTGGGAAAAGGATGGGTGAAAAGCTTCTCAGGATTCTCTTCTGTTACTTTCAGGTCCCTGGAACTAATGAGGCTCTTGGAACCAAAGTTTTGGCTCCTGGGTCCTTATTTCAATAAAACTGTAAACAAAAGTGTAAGCTAAATTGTATTTATTTTTTTTTTTTTTTAGTAGCATATCTGGAGAATGACCACTGCAGCTTTAGATGTGGGGTACTTGAGTCCATGTGAGCTTCTGTAATGCCTGCTTGATAGAGAATGTGTTGGCCCCAAGAAATAAGGTCTGTGAGTGCATAGCAGGTAACAGTCTTACCATTAAAGCTCTGCCAAATAACCAATAAAAGGGTGGAGGGAAATTGCTGCAGAAGCAGGGGAACTTACCCAGAAGAGAACCCAGACCAGCTGGTGCCAGGCTTTCCCCAGGGTGAGGGGGAATTGCCCTGGAGTACATAAAGGTCCAGAATAATCCTTGTGAAGCAAAACCCTGTGCAAAAGTAAAAATTACTTAGGGCTCAGCACAGCAGCCAAGGAGGCAGTGGTCCAGCTTAAGGAAGCTGAAGGGAGGCCTCTACAGGCATTCCTTAATTTTACTTTTTTCCTTCTCTTTCCTTTCCGGAGTTACATCCTAGAGTAACTTTTTCACTACCCTTAACTACCTTAGTTGCACTTCTCCAACTTCATGGAGAGGAGGGGTCGAACATTACACAATAAACAATCTCCTTCAGACTTTTCCATGCAGTCAATCTTTATTATAGCAGTATTCTCATATTCACATCAAGTACATAGAACTTTTTGCCTTTCATATAATACAGAGTTCTTTAAATAACTTTACACAGAAATAGTTTTCTTCAATCTGAATTCAGCTATCAAATTTTAATATGTTTTAAGTCTCCATGCTCTCTAACCAAACTGGACAATATTTCCCATTGTACAAATTTACATGAGAAAAACTCCAAAATACAAATGAAGGGACAACAAAAGTAAAGGGGGAAGGAACAAACAAGAAAAAGAAGTTGTATTGGCAATTACAGGGGAAACTTGAGAAGGAACAAAAGGGAGTTGTCATGACCTACGTAACAGGAAACCGAAAATAAACGTTTTGTTACGAATTAAAAAATAAATACAAGTTTCAAAACAATTACTCCATTGTAGATTTTTAAAAAGCAGCTATGGAAATCTACTAACACAATTGGTTTTTTTTTTTTAAGTAACCAGACTGGACCTTCTTACTTTGCAGTCATAAGCCCCTTGCAAACCTCTGGTGGTCAAAAAAAAATACAGCTGAAAGGAATGTGTTAGCACAGAGTTTAAAGTGGTGGGTCAAACATTTCATTGCACTAAGGAACAAACAAACAGAAGAAATTAAATCTGTATATAAATTTCCCTTTCCTCTCCTTACTACATACTTTGCCTCTCATAAACAAGCCTCTGTATTATGAGGTAATGCCATTGTCTTGACTATATATAAAAATAATAAAGTTTAAAGGATATAGATCTGGATATCTATAAACTTTAAACAAGCCAGTCCTCTCTTACTCCCCCATAGGGTCCAGCTACTGAGTGCTACACCTTCTGTCATTGCTCAGTGCATCGTGCCTCTCCTGGGAACCCCCAAGAGACCCGTGCCCCTTTCCTAATCTAGGAAAAGCAGCCTGTGCTCAAGTGAGACAGAGAGACAGTGCAAGTAACGCACCACAGATCACACCCCCCCCACACCTGCTCCTGCAGAACAAGGCAGAGTCACAGAAGGCAACAGTGGCCAGCCTGCATGTGTGTTTGGACAGGGGAAAAGGGATCCCATTAGGCGTGATGGCTGATGACTTTTGCAATTGCTTAGGAATAATGTCACCTGCCCAGCCCTGGGAGATGTGTCACTAACACCCAGAATGAGGCGGGGAGGGGAGTTACAACTGGAGGAGAGAGGGCCAGGAGGAACATTGCACTGGGAGTCAGGATGACCACGGCAAAGGCGGGCTGGCTCCTGCATCCCAGATTGTGGCAGACCCTGCTCTAGAGGCAGGGTCAGCACTGGATCCCAAAGGGTTTTCAAGGGTGGCAAGAAATACAAGGCAGGACTCTCCCCAATCCCAACAAATGAGATCAGAAGAACAGCAACGTTAATTTGGGTTGCCAACACATGCAAGTTGGCCACTGTCAGGTTTCTGTCAATTGAGAAGTGTGGAGAAGGGGGTAGGAAGGGGAGGCAGATAGGACACAAGGCTCATGAAGGAATGATGTGCTTTTTTTTTTGGTTGATTTTTTTGTTTGTTTTTTTTTTCCCCTAAAGGTTCACAGCTTTGAATAAAAAAGCACATTTATTGCACTTACACATTTTAGACAGAGTTAATTTAAATTATGCCCTCGGAACCCCCCACCATCCCAAAATAACCCAACACCCAAGTTTGGTCCATTTTTCCCCCCTAGACCCAACATCCATGCCCAGATGATGGGCTTCATTTCTTCTCCTAATTTTCCACTGAACTCCCAAACACTCAGATGGATTTTCTTTTCAACTGGAGTGAATACACAAATGCAACACAGAATGACATTTATCAAAACAAAACCTGACCATTTCCCAAATGCAAACCAAAAAAAAAAAAAAAAAGAAAAAAATAAACAAAAAGAAAACATAATTATTTTTTGTGGTTTACTTGCTCAAAAGTAAATGTCACACAAGGCTTATTCAAAGTACAGCTGCTTGCAAACATGACAAACCAGACAAAACGATGGACAGGCCACTGTTGGCCTCTCTTAAGGAGACTGGATGAACTAAACACACTGCTGCTGGATGCTATGAAGCAAATACCTAGGTAGTTTAGAAGTTTCTGAACCTTCCCATCAGCTCCCTTCTCTTAGGGAAAGAGTTTCTTTGATATTTTCTTAAATAAACCAAACTAAGAAAATAACCACCTTCTCACATGTACTTTTAGTACAGAATCTGGGGTAGGTAGAAGTATTCCAGATAGTTCCTGGAACACGATTAAAACATTTTTACACTTTGCTTTCTAAAAGGAACAAACTCTAATTAAAATCAGTCTGCTATTTCAGATGAACTGTGCATTTAGACATAATTTTATAATTTACAATGATGCCCAAAGTCTTGCCCCAAAGAAAATGAAAAGATCTGAAAAAGCACTAATACCCAAACCATTATTTTGTCCTTTATGGACAAGTGGGTTAAATATGACACTGGTATGTAAGTACTGCCAGAAGTCTATGTAACCAGTTCGAAATTTGAACTGATCAAATTCACACATATTGGCTGTCCCTCAGCTGACACAACACATACCATGTCCCACAGTTAATTGTGCAATAACAGGATGTGATCACTGAAAAGCAACTGCAAGAAGCCCAAGGAAGAACTGAGGACACCTGCTGATATTCCAGAAAACAAAACTTACTGCGCTTTCTGGAACAGGAAACTGGTTATATGATATATGTGGACTTTCATTACATGAGTACTAGCCATCAGTTTCTCCTCATCTAGCTCTCATTTTTCATCTACCATCTCATTCCAAGATGCTATGACACTGTAACTTTGGGTCTCTTTGGAGCTTTCTATTACTTTTCTTTAACAAAGTCTCTGTGTCTTTGGAGGGGGAGGAGGGCTTACTTGTTTTTAAATTGAATGAACCTCATTTAACTCTTGATAGAGCAGATTTCAAGCAGCAGGTTTACTGTAACTGAATTAGGTATCCTTCAATTCCTACCTCTGAAAAGCTAAGAGGTATCCTAGGGAATGCTCTGCCCTCCTTCCTCGTTTACAGAAGTTTACCAACTTGAAACTACCCACCTATAGTGATAGCTATATACAAAACTACTGCAGCAGAAGTAAACCAAAGACACTGCTCTAGTTACAAAGCACCTGGTTTACATTCTGTTGTACTTTTTAAGGTTGCAAAGGCACATGATCATTTGGCAAACTCCAAAAACTGGTTTGGGGGTCCCTATGTAAACCCTTTAACAGATGGTCTTGGTAGCTCTCTTTTCTAAAGGAAAGAGATATGCCAGTTTTCATCTGAATTCACTCTCAGGGTACTCTATATTCTGCAGCTTGTAAAGTTTCCTCCTTCCACAGGTTCATAGTTATTTGCTGCTGTCACAGTGCTGACTTAGTAGCTTCTGTATTAGCATCCTTGAAACTTAAGTGCAAAGAAAGAGTTTTAACAACTTTGCTCTGCTCTGCTGATAGTTTTATTTACTAGGCAAGAATCACAGAATATGCTGAGTTGGAAGGGACCCATCAGGATCACTGAATCCAACTCCCGGCCTTGTGCGGGACACCCCAAGAGTCACACCATGTGCCTGAGAGCATTGTCCAAATGCTTCGTGAACAATGTCAGCCTCGGTGCTGAGCTCACTTCTGTCAGGCTCACTTCCCTGGGGAGCCTCTTCCAGTGCCCAACCACCCTCTGGGTGAAGAACCTTTTCCTCATATCCAACCTCAATCTCCCCTGACTCAGCTTCATGCTGTTTCCTCGAGTCCTGTCAGTGGTCATGAGAGTGAAGAGATCAGTGCCTGCCCCTCCTCTTCCCCAGTGAGGATACTGAAGACTGCAATGAGTCTTCTCCAGCCTGAACAAGCCCAGTGACCTCAGTCACTCCTCATATGGCTTTCCCTCAAGGCCCTTCACCATTTTCATGGCCCTCTTTTGGATGTTGCCTTACAGCTTAATGTCTTTTTTACACTGAGGTGCCCCCAAAATGCTCACAGTACTCAAGGTGAGGCCACACCAGAGCAGGGCAGGACAATCCCCTCCCTCGAGGGGTGATCCGGTGATGCTTCACCTGATGCCCCCTAGGACAGGTTGGCCTTCCTGGCTGTCAGGGCACTGCTGACTCACATTCAACTTGCCATTGACCAGGACTCCCAGGTCCCTTTCTGCAGTGCTGCTCTCCAGCCTCTCATTCCCCAGTCTGTGTGTACATCCAGGGTTGCCCCACTCCAGGTGCAGAATCTGGCACTTGCCCTTGTTAAACTTCACACAGTGGGTATGGAGTAATGAAGCAGTGAAGAAAGGTATTTAAAATGCATATCAAAACAAATACTAAGTACAAACACACAGTAACAAGGCTGCAGCAAACAGAAGGTTTGTTTCATAAACTTCTGTGTAAAATGCATAACAGAAAAGAACACCCAGCACCTTCAGAGTGATGCCCTAAGAGTCAAATCACACAACTGCTCTTTAACGTGACTGTACCTAGAAAGCTCTCCTGTCACACTGTGCTATCGGTGATACATTTTTTCAATAGAGAAAAGACACACTGTATACAGTACTATGAAGGGTTTGTGCTACACATGCTGTACTCATAGACAAGAAGGCAATGAAACCTAGAGGCTGCAAAAGTGTGAAATGTCTACATGCTTCTTCCCTAAATGTAGCCCCTCCAGCTATCAAAGCTTCAGTTTGAACTTGTTTGTGAGCTGTCTGAGATTCTGACTTCCTTAAACCTTCTGTAAAATGCTGGATGCACTCACATCACCAGGCAAACACAGAAGAAAACCTATTTATATGTGATCTTCAGTGTACTTCTTCCCCAGTTCGGGCATTGTGGAAAGACATGGTATTTATCAACAGTCAGCATTTTACTCATTTTATGTCACAAAGGCCAAATTCTGCCTCTAATGAGCACATACTAATCCAAGTGATGCTGAGAGGCCATGGTAAGATAGCAGTACTTGGCCTCAAGCATTCTGCATCATCATTAGCTGCTAGAATATTCAAGTACAAGAAGAGATAATTTTAGGTAAACATAAAATGCAGAAGTAGATTCGTTCAATGACCTGTGTGAGTTTAGCAAAGAAGAAATGACTGGGCTAATTTATCTGGGGCCATGTATGACTTAATTCATGCAGAAATTACTTTCAAAGTACCCCACCCTCTATACTCCTACCATCAGGTTTAAGCTCCACTACAATGTTCCAGTTCCAGCAAATCCGACACAGGAAACAATCATGTACTGACAGGGAAGATGTAACAGATAACAGGCCTCATCTAACTGTATGGAAAAGGAAAGGCAGAGGGGAAGGTCTACGTGTGGTTGATAAAGACATGAATAGCTGGGACTGGATACTGGTACTTTTGCAAATAATTATTAAATACTGGATACCGCAGAGCCTGGAGAAGCTGTGTGACTGACGTTTGTCCCAACATGTGCACGCAAAATATGTAATAACATGAAGAAGCTTAAGGAATTTGGGGTAATGGGCATGAATGAATTGGTCATTTCAGTTTACTTCCTTCATCCCACTGCTATGCAGGGCACTCATTTCTCATCTACTCTTGTTTCCCCATTCACTAAACATCTACAGGGCACCTTTAAGACTGGTTATGATGGCATGCAAGACATCCAGAAAAACTCCTGAAGGAAAAGATAAAACCAAAAATAATCCCAATTATTTACAAACCACATTTCTTCCAAAGTTTTGCATGAACATTATGTGGGACCTCTTACAGACAAACATATATCACTACACTTATCTGAAGGGAAACAAACAAACGTGAAAACCAGTAGAAATGCATCCTGAAAGGACTTATCTAAACAGCAGCCAAACAACTTGCACATTCCTCAGGGAAAAAAAAAAAATCAAACCAAAACCAGAAACAAAAAAGAAAAACAAAACTACAAACAAACCCCCATTAAAAAACCAAAAACAACCCAGAGATCATGTGTTACTTATAAAGTGCTTTGCATGGACAAGGATAGCAATTTTCCTTGTGCTTTTCCTATGGGCTCAAGAAGCATATAGTAGACTAATGGGTAATGAATCTCCACCAAAGTAAGTTCATTTTAAGCAAAGATAGAACGAAGTTCCTAACAGACAATCTTCTGCCAGCATGACTTTGTGGAAGGAAACTAGGGCTTTTACCAAGCTCTGTGAAACAAATGACTGTTGAACCACCTGTCCATAATTGCTCCGTTAACAGTTTCTTCCAAGAGAACAATAATTTCCAGTATGCCTGACATGTACAAATGAGGCCAGGGCCCACAGAAGGGCTGGAGCCAAACACAGGATGAAAGGAGAAGCAGTGACTACTTCACCCTCTGGGAGCCTGTATCTGGTGAATGCTCTCACCTGCCTGCTGACACCAGCTGGCCCCAGGCTCCCTCCACCTCTTCAGTACTGGCCTCAGATGATCACCAGGGAGAACTCGGACTTCACCAGTCTTCACCACCACTTGCACACTGGCTTCTCCACACTGGAAAGTGGCTATTGCTACTTTTTAAATTCCTGCCAATCTCAATAAGGAAAAAGCCTTACAGCATCTGAAGATCCATGGCAGACAAGAAAAAATTTGTGCTTTTTTTTGTTTGTTTTTAAAATGCGTCCTGTACACAAAATCAATTCTATTCATGTACCAACATGAATCACTTCATTCTTGTAGTGACTATTAAGTCATTCACTATTGCTGTCTTGCTAATGTTTGTGGAAATAATATGAATACACAGTATTTCAGTTATAATTCCCACTTCAGATTAGTCCGGTCCCTACAACCCCAGTAAATATTTACTGACAAACATAACCGACTACCAGCAACACCGCAGAATTCCAGGGTATTAAAAGCGCCTTCCACTACCGATGTGCATTTCCCCCTTCACCTGGGAGCAACCTTCTGCAGACAGAAACAGTCCAACCCTCCACAGGGAGTGAAGGACAGCATCCTCACTCAGTACATCCATCTTTAGCACGGACACCACATTCACACACATTTAACTCCTTCATTTATTTGTCATGATTTTGTTTCACATCCCCCACCACCTCTAAGCAGGAATGTCCCTGCCGGAGGCTGGGGTTGGGGGTCAGTTCTCCTGCCTCACCTGCAGTGGTACAGGGCCAATACGAACCAAATTCTGAAAACTTCTGTCTGAGCTTGAGTTTCTTTCCAATGTGGTCTGCCTTGCCTCTGTACAAATAATTTACAGGTAATACCACATACCAGAGAACTCTGCAAACAGCTCACATCACAAGATATTCCACTAGAGGTAAACGATGTGCAGAACTTTATGAGTTGTTTTTTTCCCTGACTGGGTAGTCAAAAAGCTACCAACCACTTGAAAACCAGGATTGGAGGACAGGAAAACAAAGCAGTCTGATGGAGATACCGCCACCTTCATCCTAGTTTGCAAAGTGTACAAAAGGGAAAGACAAATGGAAGGGAAGAGATGAGAGGGAGGAAAGCAATGAGAAGAGAAGTAGTCAGCGTGGATCCAGCAAGTACCGTTTTGTTTTGATCCAACAACTTGCCATTAGGACAAGATGCTCCACATTTACACACACACTTATCGGAGGACATTTAGTTAACAGGATAAAAATCCTTTAAAAAAAGCTCTTGAAAGTACCAAAACATAATTTTTGGAATGTCTAATTCTAGGGGGTTTTGTATTTGTATTCAATTCAACCTGAGAACTTTTTTCCCCATTTACTAAAACATTACATATTGGTAAGGTACCTGGCATTAACCTGCACCCTCATTTAAAATAAAACTTTTAAAATAGGTACATACACCATTCACAGTCTGTATCGGGAACTCTACAGACTTCAGATGCTGCAGTAGCATCTTTGATAAATACATTGTATCACATGATACAAAGAAAAAATAACAGAGAGGACAATCTCGCTACATTTTTTTTTTTAAAACTTCAGTTTGTTGCTGGACCAACAAAAGAAGGATCTACCTAATCCTTCTAAAAGATGTTGTATATGCACACACCAAGAAAACACGGGAAAAGGAAAAAGGTTAAGGATGGTGGTTGTTGTTCTTTTTAAGAAGTGGTAAAGTAAATCTGAGAAAAGGTGCAGCAGCATCCCCTTTTCCTTCAGCTGAACCTCTTTGCCTTCAGAATAACATCTTCTCCAGCTCCCACTGCCCCACACTTCAAATTTAAAGGAATAAACCCCAATAATAGAGACAGATTGAGGTGTTTGACGCTGTAATACAGTGAAAAGGGGATACTGCATTGTCCATAAATCAGTAAGTACACCAGGAAAAAAAAAGGATCAGAATGGAGAATGGTTCTTTTAAATTAGCACTCAACAGATTTTCAGCCTCTGATGGTTACACTGTTAGAGGGAGAAAGCCGACCGGCAGACCATCCAAAGCAAGTCTCCTAAGTTGCAGCAGCAGTTCCATCCCCTCATGCCCGAGCACCACAGTCAAACCACGAGCGCCCTCTCCTCTCTCCTGGGAATGATGCCAACGGCACAGGCAGCCACTGCGGGTCTCCGAATGCACGTGGTGGTTTGTGTTGAAGGAGAAACACTGGCAGCAGAGGACTCTGGTTCCCAAAAAGGTACTTTTTCCCATTGTGTTGGACTGGCAGTTCCATTCTGCTCCACTTTTAAAAGCTTATGGATATCTTTTCTAAATTATTTTAGGTTTTGCGGAGCAGAATGGAGTTTTGATGTTAAGAAACTGTAGGAACACAAGACTTAAATAACAGAGTGGGTGCTGCCATGGTGCTGTGGCTACTTGAACGCTGCAAATTCTCCTGTAGAGGGAGGACAAGAGCTTGGTTTAAAAAGGTGATTTCAGTTACTAGGCAGTCAAGAGATTTTCTCTAGACTAGCTGAACATCAGGCTGAATATAAAAGATGTTAAAAAATGCAAACTGTTAAAATTAAAGCACAAGAGAATACATAGTGAGAGAACATTGAATACAGACCCAGCATATTTAACCAACATAGAATTTCTTGAAAGCAAGCTGTACCCATTCTTCCCAAGAACTGTGAGAGTTCAAGCAAAGTCTAAATCATCATGCATTTGAAAATAAAATGCGTCAGCTTGATTTTACTTTAAACTCCTTATTGCACATAGATCTTCCTGAGAAGCAGCAATTTCAGTAAATGCATCTGACTGCAAACTAGTTTCTATTCTGGTGTAAAACTGGTTTAATAACAAAGAACTATTTGACACACCCATTAACCTATTTTAAGACTATATACAGTAAAGTACCTGAATATAAAACAGTATTGAAGAATGCTACGATCTGGTTTAGAGACCAACATAGCAACCTACTGAGAGAAAAATAAGAAAGGGGAGATTATCTACTCAATCCCAGAGCAGAAATTAGACCTCACTAACAGGGAGCGCAACAAATAAAGCAACTACGTGCTTCCTTCAGAATTACTGAATAAAAAATAATTATATGCAGTGCTTTCATATGTGATGACCTCCTGAAATTCTCCATAATTTATTCAGTGTCACCATACTGTGAGACAGACCAGTAGTCCCATTTCTGAAAGGAACTATGGCACAGAGTAAAACTGCTGCCCAAAGTCTTTAAGGAGTTTCCCAGAAGATTGAATAGAAGTTGTATCTACCACTAATCCTCCCAATCTTATAATTTAGCAAAAAGAATTTCCTGCCACCCACAAAGAAATTGTATACTTTAGGATTTTTAGTGAGGAGCGTCCAACTCTGCAGAATCAAAAGGACTCAGGAGGAAGAGAAAAAGCAGCAGACACGTAACTTCCCTGTGTTGGGTTCTTTATGAATTTTGGGTTAGTTTATGCCACTTTCTTGACAGTACTTCTCAGAGCTTTTCTAATAATGAAGGAGTGATAAGCAGGCATAAGAGACCCTTTGTTTTGTTCAACAGGAGCATGTTGACTGCCACTACATCCAAACAACTGCTCCCTATCTTGGTGTTCTTCCATCTTTTCAAGAGTGAATGTATTGTCGACTTTGTTTTGCCATAAGATTCTTATTCTGAATATTGGAAACAAAACAGAAACATCCCTGTAACCAAAATTTTAGGCTTATCATGGAATGTCTTGCTCTATAAGGAAGAGAACCACAAGAGTCATCAGCAGTCTGCATGAGGAGGGAAAAGAAAAGGCATCTAAAAGGCCTGGGAGGAGCAGCTGATCCAGTTCTATGGGAACTTGAAGAAAGCAGGGAGAGTGCTCCGTGTGTCCTAAGAAATGAGAAGGGAGTACACCCAAGGTCTAAAGTAAAGGGGCTGGCACAGAAGGCAGTGAAAGACCTGAACCTCTATGTGTCTTTATGGACTGTGGTGGCAGGTTTAAAGTTACAACAGCAAAGGAATAAAAGCTTCACGATGGATCTAATTGCCTATTTTACAAGTTCCACCAACAGATAAAACTCTTGCTCTAAAATACTCTAAGTATTTGATCCTTTTTTTCTTGCTGCTTTCTGCTACATTTCACTGATCTCCCAACTCTCTTCACAGTATCTTCTAGAAACATCCCAAGTTTTGTATATTTTTTCTTTTAAGAGGACAAAAAAGTCATCAAGTATTGCTTGTGAGGCCAATTTTTAAGAATGACATTCATGCCTAGCTACACCTTCAAAACATGCTCTACTTAATTTATTTTTCATTCTGCCTTTCTAAATTGCTGCTTAAAGATCAATTTATACACAAGAGATGGCTCCCTCATTACTCATCTTGTCCTTCTGCCCATTTCCAGTTATAATTCAGATTTTAATAGTCATATGGGGATTTCAGAAGATAAAAGATAAACCTTTAATTGGAAAAGGGCAATGGAAAAATGGGATCAGAAGTCAAGAAGTATTTCAGACAGTATGGTACCTTTAAAAAGGTAGTTTTCAGACTTTCCTGCCTTTTAAATAAAACCTTAGCAAAACACATTTTCTTTGACAAGCTAATGCTAAATCTTGCCTTTCAAAATTCTGGTGTTAATCTGATCTCAAATCAATAGGAGGCCAAAAAAAGTAACATGTTCATCTAATAACAGGATTATGTTGATTGAACGTGCATAAAATGCGGATGCCAATAGCAGCTTTCCCTAGATGAGGAATGTAAATGGTTATACCTATCCATGTAAAGGAATCCTTCATCTAGGTGTCAATAGGACTTTCTGAGGAATAGCTGAAGTATTCTATGTCACCCTTTCTATTCTGAAGACATAAAATATCTGCAGCTGGTTCTTTTAGCTCCCAGAAGAAAACCCACCTGCAGAAGCAGGGGAGAGAACCCAGGCAAACTCTTCCTGAGGCTAAAATGCAGACAGATAAATGAAGTAATGCGAAATGTGAATTCATAATTTTCTAGCAGGCCAGGAAGGCCTTACCTGAGAGCAATGAACGGGCAGAGTGAAGACAGCTTTAGGAACACGACCCAGTGTGCCCTGTCCTGACTGCCTTGCTAAGTCCTTTGGACACAGTTCTGCAATGGGCAATGCTAATCCAAACTGGGACTATTGAGGTCCCACGCTCCCTCTTGACCTGGGCTGTAGAGCAGTCACCTGCCCGCTGTGCCACACCAGCACTATCTGTCCTTAAGGCAGGATGGCTCAAGGAGCTGATGTAGGAAATGCTACCTCAGGCTGTTGGGGAAGGAGAGTTTTCTAACCACTTTTTGGAGAGCTGCTTTGTTCGGGGAACCCACACACAACTGCACAGAACAGACTGATGGAATTGGAGAGCATCTGCCAGTGCAAGGGTAAGGAGGCAGGCCATGGCTGCTCCAAATGAGATCAGTTTACCATGAAACTGTGAAACCACGTACTTAGCCACTTGTTATGTGAAAAAAAACCCCAGACATTTATATTCACTGTGAGCCAGACATCTCAGGTACTTCTGAGCAAGCAGAACTTCAGATACTTGCTTTGACTGGTAACAAAGCAATTCCTTTCCAAAGGATGGATAGCATCTGAAAACACACACTTCTTACAAAGCTCTTTCAAGTTAGCTGCTACAGTCCTTTCATGCTTGTATTATGCAGAGCAAGTGGAAGCTATTTTAAATGCACACTTTCAAAAAATTTGTACTAAAAAGATGATCAAGATCTTTCATGTTGCCTCTAAACAAGGGCATGTTTTGAGTGAACCTGCTGCCCCTGATTCCTGGAGGGATTCAAGATGCAGCTACCATTCTCTGCTCTCACAAATTTCTAAGTTACCTGCATTCACGAGGTTACTAAGGTATATACACAACACTGTAACTGTCCTCCTTATGCTGGGGTAGATGCCATGTTTCTCAGGAGAATCGTAAGGAGAGTAATGGTTCCCTTCCAGGCTCGTGCCTGGAAGTAGAGAGTAACTGACTTATCAAAGAGGAACACCAGATTCCAACACCTTGCCTGTATTACATTCACGGACACAGAAAAAGTAGGATAAAGAGGTAGTTTTCTGTTGGATATTTTGCTGATCTTCTGTACAGATACCATCCATGGGGTTAAATAAAAATCTGGAGTATCTTCTAGGAGTTACCAAGACAGATTTTGTTTCTATACCAAGCTGTAGGAAAGTAAAGAGAAAAGGAACCTCATCTACTGTAAACTACTCCTGCAGAAAAATCTGAGCTCTTACAGACCTGTTTTCTGGACCAAGAGGTATCTGTCTCTGAACAACATAGCAGAGTCGCACCTTTGAGAACTCTGACCCAAACCCATAGGTGTAGTTAGTTATCTTCATCCTACAGACGGTCCCAAATCTCACTGAAGCAGCAATTACAAATTACATGAGTTAAAACTCTAAATGCTTTTATGTCAGATAAAGTTAATAAGCCACAAAACCCAGCCTCCTTTTCGGCTTCATAAAAGGTTTAATGAAAAGCTAAAATCACATTATGGCCATGGAGCTCAAACGGTGCTCACTGTGTCAGAACAGGTGACACAGGAAGAAAGCACTGGCCACACAGCAGGAAATGGAGCCAAGTGTGTCTAAGGTTGGCAGCATTTTTCCCCCATAACTGTAGTTCCTAGAGCACAGATGAACAATCTTAACAACAAGGAGGATAACACCACTGCAAGGAGTAACTTGTTTGAACTGATCTGGCAGATCTGAAAAAGAGTAAGCCTGGGCGGGGCAGTGATGATGGTTCTGTACTCTCTGCAACTCCTCACGTAGTTAAGACTTTTCTGTGTGGAATGGCACATTTCTAGACTCTGCAGGAGACCCAGTAGCATCCCCTTGCTATGAGATGGGCATTGTAGCCTATACTGAATACCCCAAAGCTTAGGAAGCATTCCTCCTCATTGTCTAGAGTAAATATATAAAATAAAGAATGAGAGAGAAAAACACTTAAGTCCTGTTTGCATTTTAAGATAAGCCTGCCAAAATGAGGTAAAGCCACCAGAAAGATGGGAAACAGATTTTCTAAAACAGTAACGATTTTCATTCAATATAACTATTTCCATAGAGGGAGATTTCAACAGCTAAATTTTCTTGACTAAGAAAATGAGAACAATTTTTCCAACAGCAGAAGCCAAAAAGCCTATTAGAATCCAGCCATAAAATGTAGAAACTGCCTATATCTCTTCCAGTTCTCTACATCTGCTTCCGATTTTAAAAGGCTCAGTTGTCAGACATCTGAAAGACCAACTTTTTGGAATTCCTGATCTATTTCAAAAACTTATTGGTAGCAACTTCTCCATAAGTATGTAAATAAAAAGTCACTAGGAACAGTCCTGGCCCCTGAAGTCCTAACAAGAGCAGCAATAGCTTATTCCGATGCAAGAATCTGTGAAAATTAACAGCTTAGTTCTTTAAACCAAGTAAAACCATGTAATTCATCTAAAAATACGCAAGAACACTGTCAATACATCTTGTTTTCATATCTGACATCAAAGACTGATATAACCCGAACCACTGCTCTGATTCACCTGCTCCAGAGAAAAATAAAATCTCCAAAGTGAGCTGGTAGGATTTTAGTAAGGTGTCTAGCTTCCTCAGTTAGACACCCAGTCTAGCTGATTTACTTGTAGTCAAACTAGCAGCTTCTATATGGAAGTGAAAAAATCAATTTGTCATGTTCAGTGGTATTCTTAACAATATTAAAATAATTAAAACCTTTCATCTTAACAGAATTCATGATATAACACTGATTTCCATGAAAACAACTGCTTTTTCAAATCTTCTTTTCCTATTATGGGTGTAAAGCAGCATTTTCTTCAAAGTATTTGGTCATGCTTGAGATTTAAATTTTTTTTTTTTTTAAAAATTTGAAATCCGTGCTAATTGAAGGATACAGGCACCATTACCAGTAATAGTCTTGCAGTTTGGCAAAAGCAGATTCAGAATTTCTTCTGTGTTGCATTGTAATAGAACATTTTGAGATGGTCTAAACTATAGCAGGTCAGAGTATTTAGGGGAAAAAAAAAAGTAAAAAATAACAACCCTTGTCATCACTCTTTTGTAGGAAGAGATGTTCTCTAAACAGGACTATTTTAAACTTTAGGTTTCAAAATAAGAGCCACATGTAATTCAGGGCTTTCTTTGGATTCTGTGTTGTATCTGCTCACTTCTGCTGACCACAAGAAGTTTTGACTGTGTTCAGCCTTGAAGCTCAGTTTATTTTTTCAGTTGTTCCCCACATATGAACAGCATTACTAACTGAAGAATCTAAAACTTATTGCTCAAATATAATGACCTCAACTGAAGTAAAAAAACTACAACCAAAACAACACACCACCATAGCTCGTGTAATTAAAATCGAATACACTCCTGAGTAACTAATTCCAATCAATATACTAGGCAGAAACGACACCCCATGACCTCAAGAAGATTTTTGCTTGTTTTGAAGTGACTTTTCCCATGTCTCTTACGTGACGTTACAATTCCTCTCGTGCCAGCTGTTCCCAGGGCACTCGTTACCAACACAGACTTTGTGCTTGGGACATTCATTCAATGCCCGGTGTTGGCAAGTGAGTCTTCCTTCCCTCAGTAAACCTTAAAAACACAGCTGGTACCCGAGCTGCACTCCCAGGAACACACCAGCACACAGACACACAGGCACATGCTTTCACATTTCCTTTCAGTGCACTGGAAACCCACCGTATCCCCCTGCTTGGATGGGCGTTTTTGGAGAAGCACAAGCATATAGACTAAAATCCTCTGTCTGGAAGCCAGCCCGGTTTAATGAGGGCTCAGATGCACTGCGGTGAATTTTTGGCAATGACCGGGCCAGAAGCTCAATGGAGGCAAGAATCTAAAACAGGTAGAAAATAAACGATCAAACCTGTTGTTCCAAAACTGCACCTCCCTCTTAAAACCAAAGGCACAACATCAATTAACTACAGAAAAATACTTAAACTCAAATTAAAACAGAATTTTTAAAATACTGATTACTGCATTGCATGCTTGATGTTTGTATCCTGAAAAAGTTGGAAAGGACAGTTTGGGAATTTCCCCCATTACAAAGGCATACTAATTTCCCTCTGTAAGTACAGTGTATACAGCCACTTTTTATTTGGCTCCTTGCCCAAGCACTAGTACCTGTACTGCCATCGCTGCAAACAAACCCAGCTCTGGCAGCAGTTTGCTTAATACCATTTACTGAAAAGTCAGCAGGGGGAGCTCCTTATTTTTTGAAAATTATTTGGTTACATTCAAACCAGAAAAAGTCAGATTCCCACCCCCTCTCCCTCAAGCTTTTAGAACCCAAACTGTCCTCAGCAGGCACGATAAAAATCAAGTTTTGTGGCAAAACTATCAGTTTCCCTTCATAAAGCTCAGGGGAGAGCGAGAAGGGGGGTATAAAGATTTCTGAGCACATATACGAAGTTCTAATTTGTGTGTCTAACTATAATTATCAATTTCACTATCTCCTAGTTGAAACTTTCTCCAATATATAAATGCTTTTGCAAATACACAGGTCATTTTAATACCTGTGTTTCAAAATTAAAATAAGCATTTCTAATTAAACAGCACTAACCAGGTACTGAGCCGACGCTCTCAGGAAGTCATGCTGTAACACTAATCAAAAAAATCTGGAACTGGCCAGTGAGTTTGTAACTTTGAATTCTGAAGTCTATTGAGAGTTAAAGAGGAGCATTTCTCACCTGTGGAAAAAGGGGTCTCTCATCTCTCTTCTTTTTTAAGCATTCTGCCATTAGTCTCTTCATAGCTTTTGGACAGTTGCTCCGTACTTTGCTGAGGTCTGGAGATAGATATCCTCGTCCCACCATAAAAATTATCTTTATTAAAGGGGAAAAAAGATGAAAGGGGAAGAAGATGAGTCCATAAAACAAACAGTAAAAAAATGTGAACATTTTGAAAGAACATTTTAGTTCCAGCAGAAAGTTTTCTGCTCCCAGGAAACATTATCTGGTATTGAAAATGCCAGATTTCTTAGAGCAATGCTTGCTAACCTATTCAGTACAGAGAAAAAATTAGATCTTTCCTCCTCCTCCTTCTCCTTGGAGAGATTTCTGTGAAACCTGAACACTAGTAAATGGTTACCATTTATAGCAATAACCATCCAAGGAATGGTTCTTCAGTGTCAAAAACTGTGACAAAAACAAGAATAAGCAACTTTGGCAGGAACAGAATGTCTAAAAATAAATATTCTGTAAAAGGAAATATTCTGTTTTATAAGTCAACAGCAAGTTCACTCAGAAAGGTATTTTAAGAAATACACGGACTTTGGATATTAAAACCCTTTAGCTTTTAAGAATAAATTCTGTCATATACTTTTCCAACACAAAAGCTTATTCTTGACATCTGATCACCTTCTCCACCCCCAAGAAAATCACAAAAGAAGAAGAGAAACTGTCTCTCCTCTGTAGAAGAGGAGACAGACAGGTTTTGTATTTTTACAGTAATTCTTTGAACATGGAAGGCTTATATTTTGCCTAAGGATAAAACTTAAGCATAAACCAAAGCAAACTCACAGGAAGCAGGAAAACAAAACATAAATATGGTTAATGGTGTCTTGTATATATAAAAAACTCCATCAAACATCATCATGTCAAGCCAAAGTCAAATGCAATGTGGTTTGAGTACTGCAGTTGCACTGACACTAAAAAGCCCTTCCAAACTAGCAAATCAAAGAGTCATTCATGCTGCAGCAGGTAATCACTGCCTTTGCTGAACACTCAGGCAGACCCAGCAGGTGTGTCATACCTTCTATCTAATGAAGTGTAACTATTTCATATCTTGACACTGGGGGAAAAAAAAACATCAGAAACCCCTCACATCTCAAGCATGCCATACGTGTTATTTATACTAACACAATCCTGGTCCCTTTTCAGCTTTCTGCTTCAGTCACATCTGTGCTGGCATCAAGGAGGAATATAAAACTCCCATATGGTTTCTTTAGAAATCCCCACATGCCAGAGCAGCATTTCATAGTAGAGACTTATGTACTCTGTCCCTTATCTCTGCTGCAATGAGACTTACCATGATCTGTGTTAATGTTTTCTAAATAATTGCACAAGCTGAAATCATTCAAAATTCATTATTTATGTTTCAAGTATTCTCTCTACAAATAACATAGGGATTAAGCTTTTACTCTGAACTAGAGAAAAGAGCTTATCACTACAAGAACAGTCTAGAAAAATCTGTTAGGGTGAGAGAAACTCTGAGGTGTAACAAGAATGATGCTTTGCTCACTAAGAATCTTACTTGTGTCGTAGTAGCTGAATATTTGCAACTTTGGACGTAACAGACAAGGAGTGCCAAAACTCAAGACATTAGATCACATCGTATATGGTGGTTTCACCTGCATTTTAAAATTTGTTTCAGCGCTTAATTGTAAGCACCTACATCACTGGGTTCATCCTTCAAATCTCAGAAGGTAAAGACAAGACAATGTCAAATACTGTTTTTAGAAGGATGAATCCATCTGGCCAGGAATCCAGACATCTCCCTTCTTTCAAAAGGCAAAAACAAAATTACAAAAAAAAAAAAAATTAACAAGAAGGAGTCACTCCAAATTTGATGAATTGGGATGATGTGTTCTGGCAGATATGGAAGCAGCCTTATAAAATGGCATTCACAGATGAACGTTGCTATGGTTGCAGTTCTCAAGTACTGACAGTGAAAAAACAAGAGATGAGGACACAGAAGCAACATAAATACATCACTGCTTAGACACAGAGTAGTTTACACCAAAGGCCTTGATGACAGATACTATTTTCAGATTAGACAGAAATAATGAACCAGGTATGCCTTCCCAAAGCACCTATCCCACGGAGATACATTACAGGCGTGTGGTATCATTAAGATTTAAGGAATTTTTGTTCACAATTAAGTAATCTTCTTACAGGATTCACACACTCTGGAAAGTCATATACTCCATCAAGCAGGGTTTGAGAAATGCTGATCTCCAAATTTCAGTTAGATGGTGCATGCATTTCTCAAGATCCAAATGAATATAAAACATTCAGCGAGATGATTGTTGTTCTGGTTTGTCTTGTAGCTGCACTATTATTCCATGCAGCAAGTGGAGGTGTGAGGTGGGGAGGAAATAAAGAGGAATAATGGAACACATACATAGAGGACCATTTCGCCTTTGCAGAACTATTCTAGATTACTATTAAGTAACCTGCTCTCTCCCTAGTAAGTATCCTGGCAACCAGTTCAGAAGCTGAGAATCTATACTTAAAGTAAAAAAGAACACAAAAATTACCTCTAGAGAAGTAAATTGGTGCTATGTGGCTGAGACAGAAATGTCTCACAACATCAGAACTGGAAACATCAATCACACAACACATCAGAAAGTGCACTACCCAAGGCTGAACCCGATCTCTGTTTCAGGCCACAGCTGACTGAAGTCAATCCCTTTCCTTACCTGGTCCCTGTTGTTGATGTTCGAGTATGGTAACTGTCCAGTCATCAATTCATAAAGAACAATCCCAAATGCATACACATCTGATTGAAAGCTATATGGGTTTTTATCTTGCATCCTAATAACTTCTGGTGCCTGTATCATAAAAGGGAAGAATTAGTTTTCATTTCCTTCCATCACACTGCACCTCACATACCAGGAACAAAACATGGACCTGTCCAGAGCACAAGTGCAAAGCCCACTCTTGCCTTCACAGGTTACTGGGTGCTAATACAGAGTGGATGCTGACATGAATCTCAAAACCTATTGCTTTATTTTAGCTCGGTGATCTCTTTATTCCTCTATGACAGAACAAAATGACCTTGTCCAGGCTCAGAAGACATTTGGAAACTAGGACTATAACAACACTGAAAATAATGCCAACTAACAGAGCTTTAGGTTTTTCCAGGCAGAAAAGGAGAAAGTGGAGTTGTACAGGAGCCTGTAGTATGGAATAACCATGCTCAAATCCTTAAGACTTAAAAGCATCTTACTTTTGGCTGAGCTAGTTCCTCTACTCCTTTGCAGGATGTTTTGCATGGCTTTCCTCACCTTCTCCTCAATACTGGACTAATTACACTCTTTTTCCTTAGCCCCCATTTTCTTTTCAGTTTAAACCTCAGAATAAAGGACAAAGACACTAACGTTTTTTTTTGCTGACTACTGGAAAACATATGCTTAAAGTACAATTGAAAAGTATTCATTTAGTACTTCATACTACTGCTTGTCTTTTCCAGCTTAAGATAGCTTGTGCACATCAGTGTGCTGGAGGGATGGTTGTAGAAACTGAGGCCAAAGGCAAATAAATTTGTTGAAATAAACTCACCACTCACCACTTCCCCTTTACATACCATCCATAGAATAGATCCAGACAACTGTTCAAACTGTTGGGATCCACTCCATCGTGATTTCACTGTAGCTAGACCAAAATCACCTATTTTTACTGTGAGGTCTTCATGAAGAAAAATATCTAAGGAGGGAATGTTAAGGGAAAACAGACAAGCAGTGCTGGTCCTGTCCTTTCTACACCAACAAAAAACAGCTATAATTTTGCAACATACACATGGCAGTTTTTACCACTGACCACCACTGAAGAAGATGTTTGTGTTCTAAGCAGCCAGCATAAGGAATTATGCTACTGAAGGGTTACATAAGTAATGACTGGGCCAGTGCTGAACAGACCATGGCCAGGTGGCTTTCTTGAAGTGCCAAGTACTTTCTTGAAATGCCAAGTATGAGAAAAGCTGAAAATATTTCATGAGTGAACTGGCACAATATTTCATTACATGTAGAAACCAAAGGATGCAAAAAAACCCCAAAACCTTCTGTGTTATTGCCATGAAATCAACAGATGCCGTAGGTATCCCTTATTTTGCTGTTACTGATATTACCCCTTTTATTATTGATAATACCCCTATTACTCAGTGAAATTTCTACTTGGCAAATATTCACACATGAACAGCTTTTCACATCATTAAGTTAATCTTTGGTAGAAATAAAAAAGAAACCAGGAATGTTGTCACATTCCAGAATTACATCTCTGGGAAAGGATACTATTACTCTTGAGGTCTCTGTGGATGATTGATTTGGCATGCAAATAACTGAAAAGGAATATCATAGATTAGGTGGGTTAAATAATATTTCACTAATCAGCAACTCAAAATTCACTGTATTACTGAAACACAAATTCTGCAGATATTCAAACTGCAAGGTAGCAAAACTTCAGTTACCCATGAGAGTTCCTGCAACATTCAGAGGAAAAAAAACCCCAAAAACAAAATAAAGCTTAGATTTCCAGCTCAAATCTGATGCTGCTGCTGAATGAAAGAACAATTATGCTCCAACTTCTGCTTTTCAACTCTAACTCAATAACCACAATAAAACCAACTTCAGTAGTTTTTTCACATTCAGTGCTGAAAGTTCCATGTCCCAGCCCTAATGGTGACTGTCAAGACCTTTTGCAGGCTACTCAAAGCTTTAGGTAAGGTGTTTTTAAATGTGCTTCCCAGTCTCAGTGTGTACTCAGGTATGCTGACTGCTTTTTACTACAGAAATGGAAAAAAGTGGATCCTTTGCAGACTGGATAAAGAGATGGCAGGGAACACAGAGGAAAAGTACTTGCCCCACAGCACAGATACAGCCTAAATTAGGCAACTAGTCTCCCATGGCTCTTTGTTTAGTCAATGAGATTGGCACAGAACTCCTGGAAAGGCCCCAATTTATGTCTCTGCTTTGAATCATGCTCATAAAACAGCTTTTGCATCTCCACTACCTACAGATGGGGCCTGGGGAGATGAGCAGGCTAACAGAAGGTTAAGGCTGGTTGCTGCAAACACCTCCCCACCTCTTGACTGAAAATGTAATGGAATACTTAGTAGAAAAACGGCACAATGAACTGCAATCATCATAGTGGTTTTTCAGCTGGAGGGTATCTCTCTGATCTTACAGCAGTGCCCTGATTTTGACACACATTATTAGGTTAGTTTTGTAAATTCTAACTCAATGGTCCTCTATGTGAGTAAAGACTATTTACAATCCTTAGAACAATACAGGTATGTTTTCTCCAAATATTGAAATCTGTTATTTAAAGGAAAAAACCTCCTGATTCTTTTAGCTAACAGGGTTGAGCTGTCTGCCTTGTGCATATCTTACAGAATTCTGCCCTTTCATTCACAGGGTGTTTCTTTTTAAACTGCGTTCTACCTCCTACCACGAGCTTATCTGCATTGTGAAGTTTGTAAAGACTCTACTATTTAAGACTGTATTTTGCTATGTTCCAAAAAAAGCTCACAAAGTCTATTTTACTCATCAGAATAATTAACACTTGACCAAATGCTTTGATGATCGAGACAGGACCCTGGGCTCAACAAAGCGAGCGGATAACTGGCCTTATTTGCCAATGTCAGCCACAGTGGGAAGGGGATAAGAAAACATTGCCCCAGAGCTCATTTTCAGACAAGTAACACAATACTCACTCCATGCCTTGTGCAGTCTGTCGTGCAATATCAATTAGCTTGATCATTTCAAATTTGGTCTCAATGATGTGTAGATGGTGATACAAGCTGGACCCTTCACACCATTGTGTAACAATAGCCAACTGGGGTTTTGTCGAATAACCCATGAAAAGCAGGATATTCACATGTCGTGTTTTCCTGTTTAAAAACGAACAAAAATGAATAGGAAATCAGGCAAAAGCCAGGCAGATCTACCAGAGTTTACACATATATTTCCAAACAGAAGTTGGGTCAATCTCAAGTTTTACTAAGATAACATGGTAACCTCTTGTTAGATTCATTTTAATGAATTATTCCAGACATTGCCTTTCTGATCATAATAACATGGAACAACTGCTCTGGGGTAGGCACTTGCTTCCCTCAAGCAAGCACCTTAGCACAGGACTGCTCAGAAGATACTGTTTCCACTATGTCCCCAAGGACAGAAATGGTTTGCAGGCAGGTCTGCTTTTGTGTGACTTTAGTCCAGCTACGACATTGCTGCCCATAAGGAAGACATCCAAAATGAAGCTCTAGTCTCAGGACAACTTTTTTGTTTGGATACCATCAACACATCTCCTTGACAAGTCTTCAGTTTTATTTAGGGCTTTTTTTGACAAGAATTTGTACTTTCTATGAAGCCAGCATATAAGAAAGGATGGAAATAGGTATGAAAACTGTACCTCAGCAAGGTTATGATGTGAACTTGTTTCCAAACAGCACTTGGGAGAAACTGGAGTTCATCACAGAGATTTGACCAGATTAAATCAAACCTATTCCAAAGATGGAGCAACTCCATAAAGAAAAACTTGCCAATGAACAAATGCAGAAAGGATTAGCTCGGTAGATATCGCAGTGGATTCAGGGCCTGGAAGAATCCACTGTGGAATCTGAAATGATTTCCTCACCCTCTAGGACAAGTCAATCATGTTCTTACTGCCATCAGACAGACAGGAAGAACCACATACCTCCAAACATACCAGTGAGATTTTACAAAGATGAGGCACCTAGGAATTATGGAATATTTCCTAGCTTTCCCAGGGGCTGGGGAAAAATAAAGGCAGTCTTCTTCCAACACTATCGAAGGCAGTCAACCCTCTGCTGGTGAAACCTGACAGACCAAGCTTAAAACCTGTGGTAGCTTGTGAAGTCTATGCTGTGGTGGAAGATGGCAGACCCCTTTTATGTTTTCTTACAATGAAACACTAACATGGGAGCGCAGAGTGTGAACCTTTGCCCTCACAGCAATGCGGAATAGGACAGTTCTACTCCACGTGACTGTGCCTTTTTCAGGTTCGAGGATTTGTTGAGTGATGCTGAGAGTAACTCCTGAGGGAACAAAAAATATGCAGTTTCCTGCAAATTTGGCAAAAAATTCTTGCAAAAAATGATGCAGCATAATGGAAAAGGCACAGCTACAGGTAAATCTGCCTTGTCTGGGTCAAAGGATAGAACAACTGACTACGTTAAGTGCTGAAACGATCAACAACCGAAAAGGCTGGACTCCAGCTATGGGAATGCTGCCACAAATCTGGACAAGCTATGAAATATAAGATTTTTGATTTCACAAAGTTCTGTCAAAATTATGTCCAAAAAAATGAAGAGATATCCAAAGTACCATACCATAGAAAGCCTCTACTTCCACAGCTAAGAGTTTAGAGTTTTTGGAACTAACATTTTCCTTGGGAAAAAGGCTGACCATCCCCTTTTCACCATGTAACTTATTGGGGATGTTTCTGCAGCACAGGCACCCAGCTCAACACATCAGGTTGCCAGAGGCCAAAACCTTCTTGCTATTTTGTTTCTTAAAACAGAATTAGGCTCGACAATGCTCAAGATTGTCCCTGGTTGCAATGTTCTTTCCCAATAAATATTCTACCATATCGTGTTAATGGATCCTCTTTTAAGAGTAGAACTCAAAACAAATACCTCCTCTGAGAAACTACAAGCAGCAGACACGAGAAAAGAAAATCAAGAAGTGACTTTATGAGAAATATAACTAAAAAAAATCTCAAAGAAAAATCAGTGCTACTAAATAGAAATTATTAAACAACAGTCATATGGGCAGTGCTGCAGCTGAAAACCAACAATTGGCGTGCTCTCCTTCAATCTCAAAATGCGAATGAGAGGAAAGTCAGGCCTACAGTTCACACTCAGGCTTGACTGTGCCCTGGGGGCAGGATAATAACAAAACCCAGTTCTGTCTTGAGTGTTTGGACATACACATATTGACAACACAGGTGTGCAGACAAACACCTACAAGGGAGGGAAGAACTAGCAGGGGATACAAAGAAATAGTTACTTTTTCTGCCTGAAGTATCATCACGGAGGAGTAGGACCAATGTGTTCTAATGGAAATCTAAAATTCAGTGATTAATGAGGCACAAATTTACACACATTATTTTATGCCATTAAAAATAATCTTACCTGAGCACTCCTACTTCATTTTTGAAAGCCTGTAACTGTTGAGGTGTGGGTGCCGTAACATTCAACATCTTCACTGCCACATCACCTTTAAAACAGCAATTTTTAGTAGGTGCCACTGATACATATTCCTCTAATGAGAAAATGCTATATAGAGCATCAGAAATAGTGAGGTACCCTGTTTTCTAGCTTGCATGAAATAAATCACTACAATATTTAAATAAGTAAATACTCAGTAAAATGTAAAAACACTATTCTTACTTTACTCTGAGAAATCCTATCCAAGCCAAAGCTATTAAAATACACATCTGAAATCCTCATTCATCAGGATGGATATTTCGACCTAATAACTGTTTTGTGTTTAGCCTAACAATCCCTTAATTCAGAATTACATGCAAGAGTTGAGTCTCTAAACAATATGAAATCCTTACACTACTTATTAATTAAAAAACCACATTTATGGCCCTTCAGTGACTCTCCCTATTACATTCCAGTTGGGTGACCCCTGGCAGGCAGCGTGACTTGCTGAAGAACAACTGTTTGCCATGATGGCCACATACCATGCCACTTTCCTTTGTAGACTGTTCCAAATGATCCAGATCCTATTCTTTGTCCAACTGTGATCTGTCCATCTGGTATCTCCCAATCGTCACTTGAATCTCGCCGACCAAGAGTTTTCTTTATATATGTGCAAAAACAATAAAGAGTAGAAAAAAAACAACAAGTGCATTAATGCCTGTGAAAACAGCTCCTTTGTTAAAGATTTGGCATCAGCATTTCATATCATTAAAGTTCTAAAAAGCCTTTTTTTTTCAGGTATTGTTTTTGACTTTTCCAATCAGCCATACATAAAACCTCAGGACACAGCTATACCAAATTATTTCCTGGCATTAAATATTTCCCACAGCTTTCTGGCAGCATTAAAACCAGAAAATATTAAGGAACTATTCCCAAAAAGAAAGTAACATTTATTTTTCAATTCTTATTCAATCATAATGTTAAATTGTGAATTTAAAAATGCAGATATTTTTATGCATTGTTACATAAAAATGTGTTACATACATTTGTTACTTTCAAAGTTTATGAATCATGGTGGGAAAAGTTAAGCTGTTATGTGAAGGGAAACTGGCATTACAATATGAAGCACACCAAACATTTGGGTGCACGCGAGTAAAAGTGAGTCTAGTCAATTAATTAAGTGATTTATATTTCAGTCCCACAATTACTTATTGGTTCAAAGTGGTTTTAAAGTGGTTCTCCCACTCAATTATTTCTAGTTTAAAGTCCTTGATCATCACCATAGTCATCTTCAAAATAATTCAGATTGCTGGGATGAAAGAAAAGTGAGAGGACCACAACTGTGTAGTATTTCTGTACTATGAATATCCCACACTACAAATGAGAATAGCTGATCTTTTCCTTACCATTCTATTTCTGTCTTCTGAGGATGAGGATGACTTCCTTTCCCGCTGGGGTCCTGGTGATTTCTGTAACGCTTTCACATTGGTTAGTGACCCAGGCAAAGAGGCGGGAGGTGTTGCAGACAAACCTGCGGTTGAGCCTAAATTTCAGAAACAGGATAATTTTATCTGTAAGAGTCCAGTTTACAAGAATGCACTGATTATCAGGTGCAAGAACTGTGTTTAAGATGCAGTATCTCCAAACATCAATGCAAATGTTAAGAGGGAACAAACACATCCTAGGAATATTGTCCTAACACTAGATTAGCACTCAAGTCTCAGAGCTCAGGAAGAGACAAGTCTATAGCAAACATCCCTATATGGATAGTCCCCAGTCTCTTGTTCATGAATTATCAGAAGGACAATGTCTTTTTAAGTAAGAAAAAATATTTTAAAATGTATTTTTTTAATTCCATCAGTTTCTTTGAGCAGAAAAGTAGTAGCATTTTAGTTAGCAGCATCTACCTCAGAGATTTCTTGTAGCTGTGCTTTTAGAAACCCAGCAAATAGCTGAAATACTATATTTTGGAATCAAGACAGACTAAATGCAAATAATTGAAATGTTTTCTAGTTCAGTCTCCAAGTGCCACCTGAAAACCATTTGGCTGTTTTAAAGCTATCTGTTAGCAGAGAGCTCTTATTTAAAAATAAATATTAGACTGTAGAAAGGATTAAAAAATAACAAGTACTTTAGTTAGCTATTTGAAGCATATTCTATGAAACACAAAAAGAACAGTATATCTGTAGCCTGTATGTTATCTAAACAAATCTGTGCAGGAAAATGTCACTAAGAGAGTTGTTTCAGAGCCCCAATGGCCCTTTACAAATGGAGCACTTCAGCTAGACACTGCTTTTTAAAATACACCACAATTATTCGTAACAAGGTTATGCTGACCCTTCCAATGCAAAGGACATGAAATAGGGTCAACTGTTAATTAAATTCATGCTGCTCTGCTAAACAATGTATGTCATTGTACAAGACCTCTAACATTACAATGCTTTCTCTCACATTAGTGCTCTGGAAAGTGGTGGAAGACAATACTCCTCCTCATATTCTTTCAGCAACCCCCTTCTTAACCAAGAAGTGCCTCCTAATACCAACTTGAGCTAAAAAACTGACTTTGTGGCTTTTAAAACTGTTGCTCAAGTTCAGCCATTCAGTGCACGCTAATTTATCAGACTAAACATATCCACCACTGTCCTCACTGAGCTAAAATTTATAACTTTAGAAGTGGAAGCACAAAATAATGACATACAAAGACATCAGAAATGGGACTCAGCATCTGTAAACTCTGTCCCATATGATAAAGCAACAATAATGATGCATATTAGACATCCTAACTACAATTATAACCAGTTGGAAGTCCATCCTAACAAGACCTGAAGGAAGGACTTGTGTTTATGTTACAGCCACTAGACTGTCATAAATTTATTATGTAATTCATCACACATACATGAAATTAAGGGTATGATGTTTCCAGAACATGAGTAACTTTCCAAAAGTTTACTGGGTTACAGACTTTCTCTGCAATAGCAAAGCTCTACTAGAATGCATTTTCTTTCGACGTAACTAAAGTCTCCTACTTGATTTTAAATACCACAATATAGAAACACTAGCGCAATATTCACCCTTCACCAAAAATGCTTACAGCACATGGCAGAACATTGTAGTTAATCTGTTCATAATAATACCAGATGGCCTGTTTTCCAAGTTATTAGAGTAGAATACTTCAGATAATGTTGGACTTAAGTCAACAGCTTGGACTCTGAAGCTGTATGTAACGTATTCCATTCTGTAGCCAGTCTGCTTGTTGGGAACACCTGTCTTCTTACAAAGACTTCTGGAAGAACTTTACAAGTTCATAAGGTGAACTGCTCTTGATACATTCTGAAACAAAAGTCTTTGAAACAGCCAAGATGGTAGCATTTGAAAACCACACTACATGCACTGAGCTGACCATTTCGACATGTATATGTATAAACACAAGAATTTACATTTCATGCTGTTACTCAGTAGTTGGTTTCTCCAGCATATAAAATCCCACCGAATTTTTGGGGGATTTTGTGCAATACAACAGATCCATTGACAGCTTAAGGCCTGAATTACCCCCAGGGTCAATGATGTGAAAATCTAAGTGTCTTATTTTACACAGTACAGGATACAAATACTGTTTCAGTGGAAATCTACTCACTAAATAAAAACTACATGGTCTAAAGCATCTAGGACACCAATGTGATGTCAACAGCACATTCTCAAAATGAAGTATTTGTTCAAAGTTGACAAAACACATTACTTGAAAAGCTTGTGACCTAACAAGATATCAATGGAAATGTTTGCAATTCACATTTGATTTCCTAGATCACTTCTCAAAACAAAACTATTAAATATAGAAAACTGTTATAGCACTGAACTGACTTAAACTGAACAGTCAAGGAAATTCTAAGTTAAGGACATAATTTTATCTTTAAAATCACTGCAATGCAATCCAAGGACCTTTGGTTAGAAAAATTATGCTAAGGTCCACAGAAAAACCTCAACTATGAAATTCCTTGCTTTTGAAGATTTAAGTCAGACTTTATTTATAGTAATTTTCAAGCGTGTAAAGGTGAAAGTGAGTATGTGTGAAAAGCACATTCAAAGCATTCCAGCCAGGCCAAGCAAAAAACAGAGGTGTTTTGATAAACTCACACACTTACATACACACGGTGTGAGGGTGAGGCACAAACAGCATCTGTGGTTTTACTTATTTTGTTTGGGTGAAAACAAGAAAGAAGAGCCCAACTACCTCTGAACACTGGGCCAGGCTCAAAATCAAACACTATTTCACTGGGGACAGAATGAAGGAGGGGACTGGGAGTCCGGGATTGGTATTTCCGAAGACAGCGCATCAGCTGGTTCAAAGGGGCTGTTAGAGAGAAAGAGACGGGCAGGCAGAGACAGAAAGACAGACACATAGAAGAAATGAAAGAAGTCATGGGAAATAACTAGGATGCTTTGACTCCTATTCATAGATTGCTTCTGAACTTTGAAGGGGGAAAAAAAAAAAAAGTCAATTACTAATAACACTGTTTCAGGAGCGGGAATAGCCAATTGTTTTCAGATGCCAAACAGACAGTTTATGATCAAAAGTTAAACCAACATGATCGCACAACATTTAAATGCTGGACAAAACGGGCAAAACTGTGGAGAGCCACACCTATCAACACATACAGAAATAGTTAGAATTGGTAACTTTCAATTAGTAAGCTTGTAGGTTTAAAGGAAATTTTCTTTTTTCAAAAGTGTTCTATCGCTGGCATAACTAAAGACAGCTCCATCAAACAAAACGCAGTAGGCAGGTAGCATTCTACCAAATACCAGATTTGCATGGGACAAAGAAAATCAGTGACAGCCCACAGAACCAAATCTTAGAGATCAGGAAAGAGTGCACTAAGGTAATTCAGACCTAACTTATGGCTCAAGCAAGTTGTAATTAGAACGAGACAACTGTCGTTACTGATCTAGAGCTGGAAAAACTGTCATATGCCTGCCCTACTTACTACTTCTCTATTTCCAATATTTCTATTTTATTATTATATTCATAGGAATATAATACAGCACATAAGAAGCCCTCTCAGGACTTCAAAGGCCAGTGGGAGACGTGACTTAACAGACCTGTGCTCAACATGTGACGAAAAATAAACTTTCTGGTACTAGTTCTGACTGAACTGTGAATTAGGGCTGTTATGTTACTGAAGGAAACATAAAAAAATCTGGCTTTAGTGAAAGGTCCTAGCAACCTGCTTCCAAGAGTAGCACAGGCATGCAGTACAGCAAAGCAGCAACTTCAGCGGGGCAGAGGGGGAGAAGAACCGGAGTATTTCACACTGCTTTAGGATGCAGCAGTTCATATGGAAGGCCCATCTACCGTGTTGGTGCTTTTCAATAAAAAACCCTCTTGTTTCCATGGGTGAAAATGTAAGAACAGGTGTAAAAATCTTTGAGAGAGACTTGGGAAGTTACAGTGTATCTGTGTGCAGCCATGTGAGTGAATGTGTGTGTGTGTGTGTGTGTGTGTGTGTGAGAGAGAGAGGGTAAAGAAGTGACAATGCAAATTAATTTTAAAGCTAAAAAGAACTAGATTCTGTTTCAAAACGTTTTCTCCTTCCATCTCCCCCGCTCCCAGAATGACCAGCAAATGACTCAAATCTTTGTGAGACAAATACTAAGTTCATGGACAAGCAAATGTAATTCACTTCTTGTTCTAGTCATATTTTCCTTTGTCCCTGTGTTTTGTAGAAGGAAGTAGGGTAATGGGAAGGGACAGAGCAGTTGTGTAATTAAGTGTAACACAGTAGTTAGTTTAAACATTACTTACCTCCCTCGCCTCGTAAACCCTGGTCTCTAATCAATTCCTACAAAAATTAAAAAAAAAATAAATCTGTATTTAATTTAGGTATAACATTTAGATTCTGAAAGCAATTGATATTGATCAATTTGAGAACCCATAATGTCATCTGTTGCCCATGAAAGAAAAGTGGTTTCCTATCCCGACTAGGAGCGACTCCAAAAAACTATTTATAACAACTACTAAACTTCTCAAAATCAGTTGCTTTAAAGCAGCATCTCTCAGTAGTAAAATGGAATGTACACTACCCAAAACAGATGCTTGACATGAAAATATTGATTTAAAAACGCAGCTGGCCAAAATGTATGAAGAAATATTGAACCAAATGTTCTAGTTACCCCGTTTGTGGCACAAACGATTTGAAGTGTCATATTAGAAGCTGGGACATCAATTTCCTGTACTGAGGTACATCAGTCAGATGAATCCTGCTCCATTTTTTCTTGTAACAACACACCTGATTTGCATAGCTAGGTGCACTCTGTTCTCCTCAGAAATGACTAACTGCAAAAGGTTTGCTTGCAAAATATTTGCTTGCAATACACGGTGAACCGAGAGGATCTTTTGCAACTAAAAGCAAACTACACTAAGGATTTTCTAAACCGAAGAAAAGTAGAAAATTCTAAGTTTCCATCTGTATTCCAACATTTTCATTACAGAGCTTTTTTTCCTTTTGTTACACAATTACCTTTGTTCCCTTTTTTGTTACACAATTATATTTGTTCCCTTATACACCTACGCTGCTGCTGAAGGCGCTGGTTATGCCTCAGCTGCACCAGTGCCATATTCCATATGTAAATGTCTACACAGACATAGTCTCAAAACTAACATTTCACCTTTCCATCCGCTCATTTGCAAAACAGATTTTGTGCCTCAGTGTCCAAGTAGACTTCAAGACTACTCATCTGACAAATGAATAATTTCTAGAGAGCAGACTTAAGGGTAAAATACAAGCTGCATATTTTAGCAAAATTAGAAAGCGGTTGTTGTGACCAACATTTTGAAAGGTATTAGCTGTCCTTATACTAATATCAACCACTGTTATTAGTTATATTTCACCACTGAGAGATTTCAAAAGCGTGGAAAACAGGCTAAGTGTAGCTGTTTCTGAACACTGAAAGAATGCTCAGAACAACAAATACTAGGCTCTTGAAATCCTAGGGTACTATCAGTATATCTGAACTCAGTTTAATTTAATAATTCAATTTTCTTCATTGCCAGAAATGTTACTTGGAATACAAATAGTAAAAATCTCCATCTTGCATAAAAATGTGTTTAACACACATTAAGAGCATTACTGGCTACAGTTAGGAGCACAAGCCTTGGGACTAATGACAGAAAAAAAAAAGCAGTGGTTTGGGGCAAAGTGTTTCTATGAAAATGAAAAGGACAGGACTGTCAAAAGGCAGTTCTCCTTTTGGAGAATGGGTTATTTGTATTCTTACAGCTCTCAACAGCAAAAATGAATCTATGAAAAAATGAAAAATGAATGATCCTTGAAGACTCTGATAGACCACTGAGGATTAGCTTAGAAACACACTTGTGTACACATGATAAACTTAATGCACTGATACTCAAAATGAACCCATCAAATCTACTATTCTTGATCTAATTGTTATTAACACTTACATCAATATTGACTGGCTCAATTGTATTGATGTGGACGTTGGGAGCTGAAGAGGATCGGTCGCGTTGCCCAAACTGATTCCGATGGTCTTCATCTGCTGGTCGGAGGGGCTGTGGGATTGGAATGGATTTTGAAGGAGAAGGACTAGGGAGAATTGGTGGTCTGAGAAACAAAGTCAAGGAAAAAGAGGATTTAGGTCTACAAATGGCTTCAAACACTGCATAGTGGGTGTGGTAAGTCCTTTTCAACTATAATAATACATACATTAAAAAAACTGATCTAAAGGCCTGAATAAAAACAATTTATAATGAACGATCTCTACTCCCCTATGATCAATTACAACAACTCTCTGCTGTATAAACTACCTAATTACATGGCTGTGAAGTGTTCTGAGTTGAAACAAAACAAAAAACTCTACCATGCCATACTAAACTAGTAACAATAAATCCTGATCTGAAAAACTCATGTAGCCCAACATGCACTGCAGATAGAAAGATACTCTGCAGTTTCCTGAGTCAATGCAATACAATACACTCTTTTAAATGGTAGCCCACTGAGAACTAAAAAAGCTTAACATCTCACATCAATTTTACAGTCAGAAAACGTCACAAAACAAATTGCATGGATAGGATCATTGATCAGTAAATACAGAGTGAAAATTACATCTGGTCATTCAAACTAATTGATTAATAATATGGCCAATTATTACTGATACTAAAAATAACATGGCCAATGTACTATTGATAATAAAAATAAACATATCACCTTTTAACCTCAATCTGTAAGTAATAACTTTGAATAGTGCAACATTTCAAATGTTATTTACAGTGCTAGTTAGGCATTGCAATACGTTTGACTTGAATGATAAGCGTTCAGACTACACAGAAAAGATTCTTAAAGAAATTTAAACACTGGCAGTCATAAATGTAGATAAAGTCTTTAATTTATGGTATAATTAATTGAATATTTAAAAGACAAAACATCTAAACACTTGGGTTTTTTTCTATAGAAAGGCAGAATGTCACTTCTTTGGTTATCCACTAATTTTGTTGAAGTACAATAAACTGGCAATTATCTCTTACTCTAGTCAAGGTCAGTCCCTGTTAAGTCTAATGATTCAATCTAATGGATATAAGGCAAAAGGTCAATGAAAACATTTGCCAGCTTTGTCAAAGAAAACTTTGTGTTAAAGTACACATGGTATCTGACAACAAGGTTTTTAGAAATTGGGGTTTTTCTTGCAAGTTCTAAGAGAGGAGTGGAGTCCTCTACCCATTCAATGACTCAGGGATGAATTACTATGCCCACAAAGGCAATGCCCACAGGGAGAAGCTTCAGAAATAGAACGTACAGCAGCATAGAGCAGCAACAGGTCCTGGAGCCACCTCCTGTAAGTAAACATTCCTTGGCCTCTCCAAAAGTATTCAGAGGCAACAAACATTTTCAACAGGATCTCCTGGCAGTTCTTAAGAATCAGGTCTGCTTTAAACACTACTATCTTACCTTTCATTGAGGAGTTTATACAGTTTGGCACCGGTCCCAGAACTCAGAGCTACCTGTATCCTAAGGACCTGTCATCTTTTCCTTTCTGGCCAACAATCTCACAAAATTGAGATTGGTAAAACAAAGCGCTTGCGAATTAATGCAAGCGACAGCCTAGTAAGTCTTGCAGTAAAATACATATGTTTGGGAAGTGTGGCAGGAAAGAGGTAAGGGGTTTAGCCATGTTGATTTTCAAAAAATCAGTTACCTATTGTAGCATGACAGAATATAAATATTAGGAATGCACTCAGTTGACATTTTAGGGCATTCTATTTTCATGTTTAGGCAAGTGTGTCAGATGTTGCACAAAAAAATACAAGAGGTCTAAAAAGTGTCTCAGGCTGGCCAGTACTGGCATTGTCTGGATAGCTAATTCCTGCTCAAACTTCCTGAGAGTTCTCTGATAATAAGGAAATTAAGGGAGATGTGTAAGAACACCCATCAGATCACTGCAGTAGGAGTGAGCGTGCGACACTGTCTGAGCTCTGCCACACAATGAGGACAGAAGCAACCAGATTTTCTGTGATCATCAGTAAGACAACAGAGAGAAAACCAGATTGAAAAAAACACTGTTTCAATTACATCCTCCTTTGAGTCATAAATGGTCATCTGCTGCTTCTGTATTTCTGGGCACAGGTCACCATGTCCATCATGTTGCTAGCACAGATAGCGTGCTATGTCACAAATATTTGAAAACAATTTGAATAGCTTTTTCCACTCATTAAATTCTAACTGAGGGAAGTCCAGTTCTTTAGTAAATAACTACAGGCTAATAAAGAATACAGTTTGCCTTTTTTTTTTTTTTTTTGGAGTCTCTGAACTATTATTGTGAGGATCTCTGGGCTTCAGACACCAAGAATCCAGAGATAGGAACCTCATAAGCACTTAGCTGTGTACTCCATCAGAATTTTATTACTGGGTGTCCTTGGGACTAAAAGCACGTCACCCCAAAGAATGTGGCAATCCTCTGAGCTACCAAAAGCCTGTTCTTAAAGTAGTCTTGCATATTAATTGCTCTACAGGAGCAGAAGTGACACTGGAGCTAAAATGACCAGCCATCACCATTTGGGAAAAGGGTGACATTGCCTATTCCAGGCCAGTCCCAAAACTTGTTCTGTAGGCTACGGAAACACATTGGGGGGAAAAAAAGAAAAAAAAATCAAGAGGACCAGAAAAACTCCTACAAAGAACTGTTTACTGTGACATACACATACAGCAGGCTGAGGCTTCAAGGAGTAGCAGTCTGAATACCAGGATCTGAGTTTCTGTTGCTCCTGTGGACTTTGTGAGCTGTTTACAGCCACCTGGCTAAAGGAGACCTGCTACAAAAAAGATCAATATTGGAGTAATTACACTACCTCATCTTGACCACTTTCTCCCATCTTAGATGTGGGCATTCCTTCAACAATGATTCTCAGCTTCTGAGACAACAAGCTGACAGTTGCCAAATCTCAGCTTAATGTTATAACCTTGGCTGGCAATATGACTGAGCATGCTTTTTACCTTGGACCATGTATCTGTACATTGTTCCCTCCCTTTTTATCAAGACAGAGCAGAAAGAGGTTTTGTCAGGAGACAAGAATAACTGAATATAAGATGTAAAATTTTGATAGCCTTTTAGCAAGCACAGTAAATGCCAATATGTCCAGAGATTTACTAGTCCACAAAACTGGATCCACAGGAAAGAGTAAGGTAACTCAGAGAAGTGTCCACACATGGTATGTTATATATGAACACGCAATTTTATAAAATCATAGACAGTACCTCCACCAGATTTTAGAAATTGTAATGATATAAGTTAGTTTACTTTACAAAAATGAAAGAAGATTTTTATACAGACTTTGTGCAATCTCTTTTAACTCACCAATGTGATGTTTCATAATTAAGAGCTGGTCTACTCAGGAAAGATTTTTCTTAAAATATGTTAGTTTGGACTTCGAGTTTTTTTGCTTGTACTTTTATTTTGCTGCAGTTGGGCAAATGCTTAAACTGAAAATTCACATTCACCTAGCTCCAATTGAGGTGTGTGCCAGTTCCTTCTTGAATGGACTGTGAGATTTTCCCTATCCCCCTTCCAGCCTGAACAAGTACATCTCGGTTTAGCCACAGGGCTCAGTACTGTACACACTATTCACCTGTAGGTTGCACACTCATACGTAGGCCACACCTAAAATGCGTATTAAGGTGCTTTTTTTGATTACTTTTGTTTACACCAGAGTATGACTGGATTTGAGTTTTTGTTACTGCTGTTAATGAAAAACACAGTGCACTTCCATTTTCAAGCAGCTTCTAAGGACTGCTAAGAATCTGGGATACAAGGGTATTTCAGCTACACTAGCACTGTAAATTGCTGAGGTCAAACAGGTTCTGATTTAATTATCATGGTACTGCACAGATATTGCCAGAAAACATAATATTTTTTTTTCCCCAACTCTGCAGCCTGGAAATATTGAATAACCTCAAATGAAATGGTGCTTTGGAGAAAAGGACAGCAGTATCAGTTTGTAACTACAATGTGAAGATCACTCTTGCAGCACCCTTTGAAGTCAGTCTAAAAGTAACATGAGACAGATCTGTAACAGTCATTACCTCATAAAAATCAGTGCAGTTTTCTATACCATGATAACTTGTTTTCATCCATGCTGGTTTGTAGGTGAAAAACAACGGCCAGGATTATCACAACAGTGTGCATTTCTTTATACTGGCCTTTGGGACCAGATTGGAGCTGATAAGCCTAAAATTTCCAAAAGCTTCATACACCAGGGGCTATCAAGAGAATCATGCTGCTGTAATTAGTCCTCCAAACCAGGTGTCAGTTCACTAGCGTGTTCTTCTAATAAAGTTTTGGAGAGCAAGAGGTTTCCCCCACCTGTTGTATGGGCTAAAAATGATTTTTCTATAGATTCTAGTACCAGACCTTTTCTGCTTGGCAAGAACGCGTATCAAGTTGCATTCTGTAGGAACTTTGAGAACATTTACATGGAGAGGCCTGGAAAGGATTCTGCCGGCATTTTTAGGGGAAAATGTCATTGTTTTATGAAATAAAACACAAAGCTTTTGCTCACTTAAACACCATCTAAATGGATCTAAATGACATTGTAGTACTAAATACAATATTGTAAGACTGTGTCTTTCCTTCCTTGGCTTTTCAGAAGCTTTTCTAGACATTTAAATATCTTCAGTTGAGGCAGAATGATCAGTGAACATTTGGAAGACAGAAAGGAAAGCAGAGGTGTTTAATCACAGGCTGGAGCCTGCTCAAAGGCAGGGACTGGCAAGCTTCCAAGAATGGTGCACCAGACATTCCCTCTTTCTTCCTCCAACTTAGAAGATGAAGCATATTGGGAAATGTTGTTTTTCCAAGAGCCAAGATGCTGCCAACTTCCCTACCAGCAGTGTTCTGCCTGAGCAAAGTAGACCTTTTTGGGTTTTTCCAAATGCCTGCCCCTGTGCTGTTTCAAGTCTGACCGACGTGCCCTTCTTACACCCACTCCACAGGTTACTTACCCTGCCATAACACCTGCCTCATGTGTGTGCTGAGTTTTGTCCAACATCACAACATCTAAGAGAACAGATCAGAGTTGAAAAAGACAAGTTTGGAATATTCTGAAGGGTTAATCTCTCCCTTATTCAGGTGTCTGAGATGGAGGGAACTGGGTTCACAGAAATTCTGCGCTTTCCGAGCAAAGATACAGAAGAAACTTTATGACAGTGCAATGAACAAAATGAATACAATGTATCATATACAGTTTGCTTACTTTGATTTTATTACAAATGGCTCTCTAGGAAGACCTACACTTCTTGTATTTCTTTCCACTAGGATGGCTGCTTTAGCTCAAGAGGAGTGTGCAAACGGAAAGAAACTAAAATGGGACACAAGACCTCATGTGGAGGCTGGACACACCTTTATAAGGGGTTCAGAGATGTGCAAGTGGGACAATATGTGCTCCCTCATCTTTGGGTGGAACACCTGGAGGGACTGCCTAAGGCTTTCAGTTGGAAGAACGAAGGGCTACAGGACTGGATTGCTTTAGGATGTTACACATGACCACAGTGAAACAGTTCTCCAGCACGTTTAGCAGCTTTTGTATCACGTCCAATGGTCTTTTCCTTTACGTCCCTTTCTCTTCCACACTTTTCCATTTGATCCCTTGACAATGTCTCAGCATGTCACACACGCCTTTGCTCTCGAGCTTGTCTTGCAACACAAACTTCCTTTCTTTGGGCACTTTGCCTGCTGCTGGAACCCCTTCACAAGGGAAGGATGTTTGCCTTCTCTTTCCTCGGGTTTACCAAACGATTAGTAACATCCCTTCCTCTGGGGGCTGTGCCATGCAAGATGCTAGGAGAACAGAGAAATCAAAGGAACAATTATTAATCTATTCAGTGTTATTCAAGTGAAAATTCCTCATATTTTACATCCCATTGCCCAACTCTCAAATTTCAATCACTTATTCTCCTCCCAGACAAGATAACCTCAAACGTCAGCCTTTTTTTTTGTTCCAGTTGACCTGTTGTCCCAAATTGTTGCAATACCCTTTAACAAAACCACAGGTAAGAATATGCTTTTATGGAAAAGGCCAGCTTTTTAAGTTCAGACAAATGAACGTTTCCACAATTATGTTTTTTAAAAGCAGAGAAGTATTACTAAAGAAAGGCAAAAAGATACCTGGAAAAAGGTATGGTCAGCGCTATTTGCTCATATAATAACATCTGAGCTAGTTCTGGAAAGGAAAGAACTCCACACACAGATGCTTGGGGAAAACTTCCTGACTAACATGCATATTACTTATGAACACCAGCTGATAATCATAAACCATTTTCAAAATTAACATTGCAGACATGATGTATGCCTTTTTTTTATTTGCTTGTTTAACAATGAAGTGTATGGCAAAGCAAGAAAGCAAAAAGGAGGAAGCCAGACACTTTTTACAGCTTCTGCAATTACAAACATTTACAGATTCAACACTTGGGAAAAGTGTCTTAACACCAATTGGCAAGTATATTTAAATGTTAATATTTTTATATATGTCAAGTTAAAAACCTTAAGGCATTAACCAGTTTTGGCTTCAGCTTTTCCTTTCCATTTTCACTTCACAAAACTAAGACCGACTGAAGTCTTATCAATTAAGATAACTCATACTGTTGTGTCCTCATAAACTGGTAAGAATGGACTAATGTGAGGCAAAGACAATTAAAAAGCAGGGAAATTGAGAGTATTAGGATTAGGGTTATATAGTGCCTTTGGCATCTGCTGCTGTTTAACACAATTGGTATGAACAAGTTTTTCATGGATTAATAGTTCTAGTCTGGTTATAATTTCAGCTGTACCATGAGAAAGGCAGAGCCTGCTGCACTTAAGAGAACCATAACAGCCTTGTCCACAATCTCCTATATTAACATTCATGGGATATAAAGGCAACATCAGCTACCTGGGAGAAGCACTTTTGAATTTACTTGAATCTGCAGGTACTATATAGTACAAATAAGAAGATAATCTCTGTACTTACCAAACGAGGTTCCCTCTGCAGGACTATCAATCTATTTTCCTGGGAGGCATCGTATTTGATCTTCCATAAAAGAGTCTTGGTTGCCCAGAGAATTTATCTTCTAGTTAAGAGTCCATAGGTGCCTGTGTAGCTTCCAGCTTGTTTCTGCTTTAGTCTGGGCACAAGGCTCACTAATCCAGAAGAGCCTCTCTGACAAATGCAGCTCCATTCCATGCAGCACACATGTCCTGGGGATAGTTTTCTGAAGGTTTTTGTATTTGGTGTTCTTAATAAATCTGCATCAGGTTTCTTGACTGTGATACACATCCCTAAGTTACTCTTTCCCGAAGATTTGTTCAGCTACCTAGAGCTGGATGGTGGCATTGATATCTTTGCTACTGGGTTTCACCTAAATATGGTCACTTATCTCTTCAAGGAGAAAGGGTCCAGAATCTTGTTGGAAATACAGAGGGGATGGTCAGTTTTAGAAGTCTAATTTTGCAAAACCTGGAGCTGCAGCAAACAGATGCTACTGGTATATCCCAACATGAACAGGAAGAAGACAGCTGGTCTGGAGGATACTAAAGCAATGTGTATGTGGAAAAGCTACTAAAGCAGTATTAGGAACCTGGACTTGGCACATGTTCACACCAACCTGTGTGGTGTGGTTTATTCTGAAACTGAGGTATGTCACTTCAAGGCAAATAAACTGTAGTTTGATAACCAACTAAAAGAATTTGTGAGGATATAGTTTAGGTTTGTAATAATTTTAAGTATAAAATCTTTCCAGTTTAGACCAGGTCTAAGCCAGCATGTAGAAGAAATCAGTTTAACAGGGAAGGCCTCAATTCTGCAGTTACATACACATTTAACTTTTGTTCATTACTAATTTATATCATTCCTGTGAATGAAAACATTCACTTCTTTTAAGTTAAACATAGGTGGATATATTTGTATGACAAGTCAGATTACAAAAACGTAAGAGCTGCAAAGCAGTATTTTGAGTGTTTTTAAGCATAGTACTGAAATGTTATCTTATTAAACAGCAGGAATAAGGTCATACCCAACAGACTCTGAGGGGGGCACTGAGGGGTACGATCCAGATGCTGGGGTGGTCTCTCCTATGGAGGCCTCCTCCGGTGGTATGGGGTGATGTTCAAAGAACTTGGAGACAAACAGCAAACTGTGAGGCAAGAACAAAACAAAAACAACCTAACTTGTGCAAAACCCAGAAGCTTCACAATATAACACTCAAAGACTACAAGACACCCCCAAAAGCCCACTGATCAGAATCTAAATCTTAAAATAAATATTATATTTAGACATTAAATCTGTAAGATTTGTTAAAAATATTATTTACTTCAGAGAGGATCACAAGATCATGCCTTAAACACAACCTTTGTGGAAAGTAATTTTCTAATCTTTTAGTTGGATTGCAAACATCTGGTTCCTCAAGAATGCACAACCTATACCTATATGTTGAGTACATCAACTTATTTTAACATTTGCACTGATGTAATGCCAAAAAATGGATACAACTACATAATCCATAAACCCTGAGCACAAACTCCAGAGAAGCCCATGTAAACAGTTACAAACATAAGATGAAACTCAATTAGTTCTTGGGGGAAAAACTAGCATTTTAAATTATTCATTATATGAAAATCTATTTAAAAGCTTAATAGCCTCTTTTAAAACTGATGAAATAGAACACAGAGCCATTTTACACCAGATCCTTAACCTACATCAAAGACTTACACAAATAGATCAGAAATTCAACTGAAGAACAAGACTGACTGGGACGTTTTCTTTTGTTTCTTACCTAGGCATTTATCTTGCTAATAGATTTGTTTTCAATCCCTGTAAAACCAACTGCAATTTCACTATATTCAATTGGTGTCTCTTAACATTTTTTCAGGTTGAAGAAAATAAACACAGAGTTAAAAATTTAAACAGGGGCCCTAGCCATCACATAATAAAGAACCAGTTTTGATTAATAATAACAACTGTGAACAATGAGAAGTCTGTCTGATACAATCAAGTGCTCAAAAACCCTACTCATGCTTCAAAGAAAGCACTTCATAGTCCAGCAAAGAAATATGAACTAGTTGTCTGAGCTAGCAAAGAAAGAATATGAATTAAGTAGTCTCACAAGAACAGTTGAACCCCTATATTTTTTTTTTCAGGCACCTCCTCGGACTTCCTGAATTCCAGATTTAACGCAAGAAACCACTGACAGCTGTACACTTATTAAAAAGTTCAACTGGAAAACCAATTGTGATTACTTACTCAAGTTGGTCATAATTAACACACATCAGTGGCACTTCTGTGCTGCAGCGCTGGTGAAATTTGTAGCCACACGTCTGGCACCGGAACCCCTGGAAAAGCAGCTTCCGACAGAAGTCACAGAACGCTAACGTGAAGAATGTTTTTCGTACCTACGATGGAAGAGACGGTCACAATTACACAGAGCCCTTCTGTAAACCTGAGACAGGTTATTTGCTTTTGTCTCCCTCAAATGCGCTCAACGAGCCTCTTTTTTGATGCTAGAGCCACAGTTTTATGTACCAAACAGATACGGCAGCAAATCTGAAGCAAAACTGCACTATTATCATGCTAGGGACAAACATACAGAAGTTAATGGGACACAACCTATAAAAACAAAAGCTGCTGAAATATTATCTTCTAATTTTTCCAGGAGCCAAATAACAATTCTGTCCAACACTCACAGGACTGGAAATACACATATGGCTTATATATAAGGCTTCAATGTATATTTACACATATAGTTTTAATTTTGATTACTGAAACTCAAATATTTAGAATCACAAAAGGGTGATCATTTAGAATCACAAAAGGGTGATCATCCCCAAATTACAGGGGGGAGAAATGATCTAGTTAATTTCCTAATATAGATAAACCTTGCATAGAAATACGTTCTAGTTCTGTTACTACATGTAATGATCAAAATTTCAGAAAGATATTAAAAAATGTTAAGCCTACTACATTTCATCTAACTAGCCATAGCCCAACTAGATTGAGTAAAATATTTTAAGCAGTTTGCTGATAAAATTTTGGTATTTTTAAAATTGAAATAGAAGGTCTTTCTTCCCAATACGACAAACTATTTCCAGGATTGTGTATGTAGTTGGTACCATTTAGATGGATTTTGTTTAGCAGCTTCCATTTACTTGGTGCCTTATCAGGTCAAAACATATTTGTGCACTAGCATCATTGATGATGTCAGCACTGCTCTGGGAATAGTTAGTTCATTAGTTAATTGCTGCTGCAGAGCCAGCAGGGAGGCCCAGAATACATTTCATAGATACAGCAATACTAAAATAGTAGATAGTTATTACAGCTCTGCAATGCAGTGCTGATTTAAACCCCCTACATTTATAGATTTTAGAGGGTGTATTCCATCCAAACCTTAAAGTTTTAAGGGCGATCAAGTACTCTAACATCACTTACTTCAAATACAATTCTAACTAATTCACTTAAGCTACTGTGATTAAAAACTTCTTTTGCAACTCCCACCACATGCCACAGATAGAAAATATTCCAAGTTGCTGATTTGAATTTGAAAGTACAAAGTTAATGTAACCCTCCTCAGTATCTCACAAAACGAACATACGAAATTGTGTGTCGTGAGTGGCACATTCTCCAAGACTTCCACATGCAGCTCCTCTCCCGTGAGCCAGGAAATGTCTGTGTCCCAGCCAATTGGCTTCTTCTCTCTAAAGTGCAAATAAGCCTCTCATTAGCATCGGAGCACAAGCCCTTGCACGTCTCTTGCCAACGTTGTGAGATCAGCTAAAACGTTGCACTGGGGGGGGGGTTACTACTCGGGCTCTAAATGCCGGAAATTTTAAAGGCAAGACAGAGGCACACAGCAAATAAGGCACAGCTTCCCTGGACAAACTGCATGAAGGAAATGCACCTTTTTCCAGTCAGCTCCAGTAGTAGCCGATTCCTTGGTTCCAAGGTGACAGATGCCTTTTTGATCAAATAAAGTACCTGTTGCGTAAGAGTTCCACAGAGATGGCTAATTGTATGCACTAAAATAATCTACGAAATTTTTAGGCCTGAAAACTCTTTTTTTCCCCCCAAGGGAATTTTTGTTTTTAGTTAAGAATGCATTACAACCAGGTGAAATAAAACCAAGAAGTTAACACAATCTATTAAATACTTGTTTGGTTAGCACAAGTTTGATTAATGGGTGTTTTGCCAGCAGTCTATAAGCTCATATTACTCAATATTATGCCTGAGCCTTTTTCTAGGAGTTTGCCATTCTTTCCAACATGTCTTCGAGGTACAAATTGTTCTAGTGAAAAGTATCATATAATTCTCAACTTTGAAAACAACTTCCACAATGATGGATAGAACTGGCCATACTGGGCAGCTCCAGTAAGGGATTCTAAGAACAAAAGGCCATCCCACACAAACCATACCCATCTTGTATTCTGTAAACGGCACAGCATTCTGGAATAAGACCTCTCATCATCAGAGCTTTCTTCAGGCTGTCTCGGACTGTCACTCCACATCTTGCTGGAACCTAGAGGTCAAATAGGAAAGAAATTCTTTAAAACAATTTCCAATTTATCTCCCCAAACTGACGCAAACATTTTGACCCTCAAGTGCTACAACGCACTCCTCATGATACATTACAGATCAGTAGGTCAGAGTTTTTCAAAACCTTTTCTGTAGCGTGGCAAACTTTACTGTTGAACAGTATATGTGAAATGGAGCTCAGATAGAAGAGAGAACAAGCTCTACACTTCTACTAACATTTGGAATGAAATCTTCACTCAATTCCAAAAGTGATTTTCCAACTTTTCTCAACTGGAAGAAACCGGAGACACAGCACATGGATAGTTAGTAGCTACATTACAGCTATAATTTTACAGCCCGGCCTGAACTTCACTGGGGAAACATGCCAAGTGAAATTAAGTGAAGGAACTAACTTGGACTGCACTCAAAAAACATTACTATAAAATGTAAATATTTTATTTTCTATTTGTAAAACAGAAGATAAGCATGCAAACAAGTAAAACAAAACAGTCATCTGAGTCAGGCAAGACCATCACCTCTCCCTTTAACCTATATTTGCAACTCTACAGATACTTCTTATATGAAAAACTCTTCTGTTTCACTGTTTGAAAAGTTTAGATATGTAACAGAATGGGAAGAATGGGGAAGCACACTAACACTAGCCAAACCAAGAATTGCAAACTATGCAAAGGAAAGATATTTTCCTTGCCTCTACTCTATTCCAGCTGTAGGCGTATCTTATATGAGTGAGTACATCATCCCTATGTACACCTGTGGTGTAGGTATACAACTGTACACAATCTAGGTAATACCTATATAGTGTCAAGCCATAAACCCCCAACACATATTCTGTGGTTAAGTGTAATTAAGGTGTTGAATATTATCTAATTACTATTTCTAGAACTCAATAGTGAAAATAGGCAAGACTTCAGGTGCTGTACATATTGGGACATATCCTATGATCATGGACAGAATCTCAAACACAAATCAGAAGAAAAACCCACAAACTCAACAAACACAAGAAGCCTGCCTGAACACCTGAAACTCAATTCTAGTTTGTTAGTGGCTTAAGCCAGAGCTCTCGGTAGCCAAATGCAGTCTTTTAATCAGCTTCAACTGGTTTTGGATCAGAGCCTAGTTTCTGCTCCTTGCATTTAACTTTCCATGGGTATTTAGGGGCTCTATGTCCTACTTAAGGATGACAGTGGAAAGTACCTTTGTGAACACCACTTGAGGATATGCTATATATTGCATCTATAGAACTCAAACATATGCTCTTTCAGAAGAGACAAAATAAAAAATATTTTGCTTCACCATCTTCCTCCCATTAACATCAAAGTGCTCCTTATAAGATATTTATGCATTTCATCTGGTAAATGCAAACATTTAAAGAAGAGAATTTCTCTTAATTCCTTGAAAAAAAACCCATCCTATAGCATACTGCTTTACAAACTTGATACTCAGCCTTAAGTGACTTTGGTTTTACACATTACATTCCTGTTTAATGCATCTTTTTATTACTCTAAGTAACTTCTTCCCATCCCAGAAGTTAGCACCACAGCTCTCAGTCACTTGTAGGTCATTTCTGCAGCATAAAATGTCCTTAAGTGTTACTAACACCCATCACACCCATCACTGATACTAACAGGGAACCTGGGAGCCCCTGTTATCATTAATAACGTCAACAACATTCTGTTGTAAAATTCAGCTGTCTGTTGCTTAGGTCTCTTCCAAAGTAATTGTTTACAGCAAAACCAACTGTTCATAGGGCCGTTCTGTGACTGGTATTCCCTGCTCCCAACACCTGGAAACATGGTCACTATAACTAGCACCCTTTTATGAGGCAAGAAACCATTCCCCGTGCTCTCTTTCCCCTCATTATCAACCCCTGAAGGTCCTGTCAACCAAGGAGACAAAATGAAGAGATTTCTTCTTCCCCTCGGTTCCTGGGTGCTATGCTGGCTGCTCCCTCCCTTGCCAGCCCTCAAGGCCCCAGGCACCCAGGGCCACCAGGTGGTGGCAATGGCCTGGCCACAGAACATGGGAGTCTCAGAGCTCCCACAACACTGTCTATAAATCAAGCAGCCCCCAGTCCTAAGGGGGGAACTTGGACCGGAGCTGGTGCTGCACAGTGAGATCTGGGATGCACCAGTGCCCAGGGATGTCCTCTCCCTCCTCCAAGGATTGAAGGAGTGACTCATATTCTTTTATATGAACAGTGAGTCTAGATTATGATTGTTATATTGATATGATGCATGAAAGATTTGTATTGATGTGCAAAGGGTCCAGAAATAAATGAGGTTGTATTATAAATTCTGTATTATGCTACTTATAAATTGTACAATACTGATTCTGCTTGTAAAAATCACGTGCCGTTCTAATAATAAATTCTGTGCTAATATCTTGTTACGAAAATAATTATTTAATTGTACCTATGATTAGTGCCATCATCATCATTCTGCCAAGGATCCCTGAAAGAACCTGTCTGTGCCCTCAGTGTCGGGTGACAAGTTCTCCTTGCCTACAACATACACATATTTACAAATACAGTGTAAGTATTTTTAAGGATCTGACTAAAATCTCTGAGGATTTCAGAGGTGTGCTCCAACCTCCCACACACATTAGGTCCAATCAGGAGCCATTTTGACGGAACAAGCAAGTGTTCTTTGGCTCAAGGCTATTTTTCCTCTAAGTATAGCTCCTGCTGGATTAAGGTTGAGTCCCCACAGACAATTCAGGTCTACCTTTCCAGCAACCTCAGTCACTCCACCGCAGTGGAAGAAGAAAGTGAAATACTGACAAGGTGACAGACAGACAATGGGGACGAATAGGGAAATGAAGAGAACCAGCAAAGTGGTTGGGCATGAAGCAGAAATGGGAGAAGAGAGTCAGGACAAACTTAAGAGCTGACCAGAGAAAGCACGTGTCTATTGGGAGAGGGAATTGCTATCAGCAAGCTGGTGGGAAACAAACAACCAGGACGGGGGGAAGACGGTCTGAAGAGCTAAATGAGGCAGAGGACAGGAACCAAAGATGTGATGAACTACCTTGTAGGGGAGAACTGGTTGCCAACAGTTGGGGAAGTACTGGAAGCACATCCTGAACAGGAAGCTTTCATGCTGTGATTAGGAGAAAAGGTGGCTTGTTTTGGATAAGGAGCATCAGAGGGAAGGAAGTGCCTAAAAGAAGCCTTACAATCCAGCACAGAGAGGGAAGAGGTTCTAGCTCAGGCAGAAAACTCCAAGGCAATAAGTATTAAAAGAAACCAGGTTAGTAAAATCTTGACCTAGGTGAGAGAATAGAACAAGACAAGGAGGAAAAGTCAAGCAGAGGGAAGGTGACTAACATTAAACAAGAGATAAGGAGTCTTGTGCTCAGTGGAAGACATTTTCTTCCTCCAGCACTCCATAAATAATGACAACATCCTCCAGTAACTCATGAAGCAAAGATCTGCATCAGGAACTTAGAAGTTCCAATGCTATTAATGAATTACACTGGTGTAAATGATGCCCTTTCAGGTGATTTCTAATTTTTTCCCCCCTCTTTATTTTGCCAAAAATCAAAATGTACGAAGTTACAGGATTTCTTTTAAGAGATCAATAAAGTCAGAAATGCAAACTTTCAAAACTTGGGAAGTAACAGAATGAAGGTTGCCTACAGCAATGTAAGTGCAATAGGATTATGGAAAATGTGCATGAAGCATCTTGCTCACTCATCATTTGCTATTTCTCAGTATTACTTTCCCAAGTCCCCTTCATTAAAATCCAAGCCATATTTATGCAACTTCCAATTAGAGACATGGGTAGAACATTTGTTCTCTTCACTGCCATTTGCAACAAGATCCAGCTAAAAAACAGAGACTTGTTTTGATTACTTTCAAAAATCACCACGATCCTGAATCAGCATCACATTTAGAACATTCTCTTACAGAACTCCTGAGCAGAGAAACATAAGGCTAAATTAAAAGAATTTAGTGCTAGAATAAATCCCTGTGGTATTGATTAATCATTTTCCCAGACTGGTACAGCACGGCCTATCACCATCTGTGCATGTAGCCCTTCAGCCCCCTCCTTCAGTCCCTACCAGCACCTGCTGTAAAGCAGAAATGCCACCCTACAAAGCATTCCCCCTGAAATCTGTTCCTGCCCCATCCCCTTTTTACCCCTAAAACACGGCATAGTTAAAGAAAAACCCCGCTCCAAGAAAGCGATTTGGAGAGCAACTCAGAATTAACAAAAAAACCCCAAACCACCCACTATTTTTTTTCCCCAGCTAACAGACCCTGAAGCAGGAATTTCAGAAGAGCTTCTCGCTCCCCCCCAGCCAGAAGGAAGGTGTGCAGCCCCCCAGCCTGGCGGTTCAGAGAGCCGGAGCCCTGCAGCCCCACACACAGGAGCCGGCAGCTCCCGCACGGCAGGCGGGCACCATGGCCGGTTTATCCATTCCATCCAGACTTTTGTCAGCATTCCCACACAGCATTTGAGCTGAATCACATCAGCGTTTTTTGACAAAATCGGTTCCCCACGAGAATGTTTCTTATCTGCTCCAAAATACGCACTCTTAGGACTGCAATCCAGTAAACTGAACAAAGTTTGCACTTTGTTGAAACATGGAGTGCTTAATTTTATTTCAAATCCATTTTGTGTCATCCGTTATCTTTTTATCTGCTTTATAACTAAGAGAATCTAAATACATTTCCCAACAGTTACCACCTAGAAACTCACGTTACTGAACTAGGGGATGCACTTCCAAATTGTGATTGCTAAGGCCTTTCTTTTTAGCATACTTATACACCTAAGATGTGCAGATCAGAAAAGGTTTAGGTTTTTATAGCAATTCGAAAGTTGATTAAAAAACTTTCAAAAGTGAAGACTATGCAACAGTGTGGGCTATACAATACTAAGGAATGGTACAGAAGCTGCCAACACAGCCTGTGAGGTGTGTTCAGTGTGTAGCTTAATAACATACTGGACAAAGTAGTTTACCTGTGCATCCTGAATTGGG